GGACTAGTGGACAAAAACTGTTAGTTTCTAACCCTGAAGTCGTATTCTGCGGCGAATTTCTTTAATTCCGAACTTGACTACTGTGGCGCTATCGCTCATGACGATATCTGGAATGCCATACCTGCCGAACTGGCTCTCCAGGTGAAGAATTACTCTTTGACAGGTTGTATCTTCTAGCCGAACCATTTCTGGCCACTTGGAGAAATAATCAACAGTTAGTATATGTGAACTTCCGTTCGACCAGGGTCTCGGAGGAATTTCCTTTCTGATATCTGCGCATATTCCACACGATGCAACAGTTCTCTCAATACCTGTGGCCTCCCCGGGCTAAAATAGGACTTCTCCTGCTCGTCTCTTACATTTCACTCCTCCCGGGTGTGAACTATGAATTCTCTCAAGCATTTCGTTTCTGCTACTATTTGGTACCACCAGTAGGTGTCCTTTAAACACTAAACCATCCAGACATGTCAATTCCTCTCTGTATGTCTGATGTTGTGTTGCTTGACTACTAACTTGACTTCGCTGGTCAGGCCATCCTTCCATTGTGTGTCTGACTTCTGTCTACACGCTGTCTTTAGCTGAAGCTGACTGTAAGATGGTACTTGTTACTTGGTACTTAGCCAACTGTGGCATGGTATCTCAGTGAGCTAGCACTATAAATCAGCATCATTCCAGACTAGTACAAGCAGCCACACACATGCATGTGTAGCAGGGCGTGGAGTCATCCTACAGATGACATCCTTAACTTGTCAGCTTGCTGACGGGGGTTAACCTCTTTGGTCATGTGGACAAGGCGTCTAACCTCCGATCAGAAGGTCCATAGTTCGAATCCCATCACGGGACTCGGAAATTTGATGGCGGCTGCATTGGCGCCCAACGTGGGGCTGAGCACGTTCATATTAAATTTGAGCAAAATAAGCCTCAGTACCCTACTATGCGGCCCGCGACATGCCTTCTGTTGACGGGGGAGTATGTAGCAGGGCTTGGAGTCATTCTACAGATGACATCCTTACCTTGTCAGCTTGCTGACGGGGTTAACCTCTTTGGTCATGTGGACAAGGCGTTATGACCTCGGATCCAGAAGGTCCGTGGTTCGAATCCCATCACGGGACTCGGAAATTTTATGGCTGCTGCACATGCACGTCGCTAAATAAGTGCAATTATCTTGGATGCGATGTTAAACCCAATTTCACCTCACCTCGCCTCACCACACCTCACCTCACCTCACCACACCACACCACACCACACCTCACAACACCTCACCTCACCACACCACACCACACCACACCACACCACACCACACCACACCACACCTCACCTCACCTCAGCTCACCTCACCACCCCACCACACCCCACACCCCACCCCACCCCACCCCACCCCACCCCACCTCACCACACCACACCCCACCCCACCCCACCACCCCACGCCTCGCCACGCCACGCCACGCCTCTCCCCACCACACCACACCACACCACAACTCACCACAACTCACCTAACCTCACCACACCACACCTCACCACACCACACCTTACCACACCTCCCCTCACCACACCTCACCTCACCTCACCTCACCTCACCACACCACACCACACCTCCCCTCACCACACCACACCTCACCACACCTCACCTCACCTCACCACACCTCACCACACCACACCACACCTCACCACACCTCACCTCACCTCACCACACCACACCACACCTCCCCTCACCACACCACACCTCACCACACCTCACCTCACCACACCTCCCCTCACCACACCACACCTCACCACACCTCACCTCACCACACCACACCACACCACAACTCACCACAACTCACCTAACCTCACCACACCACACCACACCTCACCACACCACACCTTACCACACCTCCCCTCACCACACCTCACCTCACCTCACCTCACCACACCACACCTTACCACACCTCCCCTCACCACACCACACCTCACCTCACCTCACCACACCTCACCACACCACACCACACCTTACCACACCTCCCCTCACCACACCTCACCTCACCTCACCTCACCACACCACACCACACCACACCACACCACACCACACCACACCTTACCACACTTCCCCTCACCACACCTCACCTCACCTCACCTCACCTCACCTCACCTCACCTCACCTCACCTCACCACACCACACCACACCTTACCACACCTCACCTCACCACACCTCACCTCACCACACCACACCACACCTTACCACACCTCCCCTCACCACACCACACCACACCTTACCTCACCTCACCTCACCTCACCACACCACACCACACCACACCTTACCACACCTCACCTCACCTCACCTCACCTCAGTCTATCAGATCACTGGACTCTGGAACCTTAGCCAAGAAACTGAGAGTTGTCTCCCTTCTATCATAAGACTCATCATCAAAACAGAGTGGACTGTTTGTTTGTTTGTTGTTTAACACTGCAACCAGTAAGATTCCAGCTACTTGACAGTGGTCTGTAAATAATCGAGTATGGAGCAGACAATCCAGTGGCTCACATCATGGTCATCAAGCCTGAGCACCCAATCCATTTAGTTGCCTCTGTGGATGAATATCATTACCCAGTATGCCCTCAGGTGGATTGTTTTTTAGCATGAGAGTCATCTGTATATACAAACTTTCCCGGAATCCCCATGGAGGGATTGTTGAGAGTCGCCACGTATACAGACTTTCCCGGAATCCCCATGGATGGACTGTTGAGCGTTGCCATGTATACAAACTTTCCCGGAATCCCCATGGAGGGATTGTTGAGCGTTGCCATGTATACAAACTTTCCCGGAATCCCCATGGATGGATTGTTGAGCGTTGCCATGTATACAAACTTTCCCGTAATTCCAACAGGTGGATTGTTGAGAGTTGCCATGTATACAGACTTTCCCGTAATCCCCATGGATGGACTGTTGAGAGTTGCCATGTATACAGACTTTCCCGTAATTCCAACAGGTGGATTGTTGAGAGTTGCCATGTATACAGACTTTCCCGTAATCCCCATGGATGGACTGTTGAGAGTTGCCATGTATACAGACTTTCCCGTAATTCCAACAGGTGGATTGTTGAGAGTTGCCATGTATACAGACTTTTCCGTAATTCCTACAGATGGATTGTTGAGAGTGGCCATGCATACAGACTTTCTCGTAATTCCAACAGAGGGATTGTTGAGAGTCGCCATGTATACAGACTTTCCCGTAATTCCAACAGGTGGATTGTTGAGAGTCGCCATGTATACAGACTTTCCCGTAATTCCAACAGAGGGATTGTTGAGAGTTGCCATGTATACAGACTTTCCCGTAATTCCAACAGAGGGATTGTTGAGAGTTGCCATGTATACAGACTTTCCCGTAATTCCAACAGGTGGGTTGTTGAGAGTTGCCATCTATACAGACTTTCCCGTAATTCCTACAGAGGGATTGTTGAGAGTTGCCATGTATACAGACTTTCCCGTTATTCCAACAGAGGGATTGTTGAGAGTCGCCATGTATACAGACTTTCCCGTAATTCAAACAGGTGGGTTGTTGAGAGTTGCCATCTATACAGACTTTCCCGTAATTCCAACAGAGGGATTGTTGAGAGTTGCCATGTATACAGACTTTCCCGTAATTCCAACAGAGGGATTGTTGAGAGTCGCCATGCATACAGACTTTCCCGTAATCTCAACAGATGGATTGTTGAGAGTTGCCATGCATACAGACTTTCCCGTAATTCCAACAGAGGGATTGTTGAGAGTCGCCATGTATACAGACTTTCCCGTAATCTCAACAGATGGATTGTTGAGAGTTGCCATGTATACAGACTTTCCCAGAATACCAACAGAGGGATTGTTGAGAGTTGCCATGTATACAGACTTTCCCGTAATTCCAACAGGTGGATTGTTGAGAGTCGCCATGTATACAGACTTTCCCAGAATACCAACAGAGGGATTGTTGAGAGTTGCCATGTATACAGACTTTCCCGTAATTCCAACAGAGGGATTGTTGAGAGTTGCCATGTATACAGACTTTCCCAGAATTCCAACAGGTGGATTGTTGAGAGTTGCCATGCATACAGACTTTCCCGTAATTCCAACAGGTGGATTGTTGAGAGTCGCCATGTATACAGACTTTCCCAGAATACCAACAGAGGGATTGTTGAGAGTCGCCATGTATACAGACTTTCCCAGAATTCCAACAGGTGGATTGTTGAGAGTTGCCATGTATACAGACTTTCCCAGAATACCAACAGAGGGATTGTTGAGAGTTGCCATGTATACAGACTTTCCCAGAATTCCAACAGGTGGATTGTTGAGAGTTGCCATGTATACAGACTTTCCCAGAATACCAACAGAGGGATTGTTGAGAGTTGTGCTGGAAATGGGTGAAAAATAAGCTCTACTTTCAGAGAAACAAAGTCTTGAAGCAGTGACTCAAAACATATTATGTGTCCAACAAAAATCTCAGCCCCACCAAGAAAACTAAATGGTTGGTCTCTAAAAGGAATTGGTGGTTGTAGTGTGAGTGGGTTTATTGTGTGTCATCATAGCCTGATGTCATGGTGGTGTGCATGCTATTAACCACTGGGTTGACAGATCCAGAAAGTGTGATGAAACTTGAACACTCCCCAGGGAGCTGAGACTGAAAGTCGAGTGGACACTGATCCATTGTAATATAAATGTAGCGTTTACAGCCCTTGGTAGTGTGGAACTATATCACAACATAAATGGATAGCCTTCTTGTTGTTAATATTGCTGACTGGCATCAAACAACTTTCAATCACAAGTAAAAACAAGTGGATTTCGCAGTCATGGAATATATTTTGCAGAATTGTTGTCTTCATACAGAGATGTACTTGGCTTGCAGAGAGCACAGTACTGCAGAAGTTCACTATTTCATGACTCCTGTAACAACCCTTAAAACCTGGACAATCTTTGTCTGGCCCAACCTATCTCATTTGAAAATTTCCTAGACTGTCCAAATTGACCCATAATCAACAACATGAACCAAATACAACTGTGTGGCACGCAGCTTTTTTTATTAATGCTTCCGACATGAAACAATACCAATGCAGCTACAAACACCGACAGAGAATGAAAAACAGACAGCATCTTCATCAACATAAACATATCTACAGAGATGCCAACCAAAACTGAATCTTTCGGAGTAATCAGGGCAGTAATCAGCGATGCTTTAGCAATTTGCTCTCCAGGATATTTCATGAATCTAAATAATTCGTTAAACAAATGACAAAAATCGTAATTTGTGGGATTTGTGTAATTTTAGGCTATTACGTCAAACCATAACGGTTGGCATCACTGTGTACAGATGTACAGATGAAATGGTCTGAAGGTAGCTGAAGCCCGACACGTAAAACCAGAGAAAAAAACATTGGTGAAAAAACTCTGGAACCGTGTTCCCTCAACGTATGCAGCGCTACCTCTACTGGAGGGTTTACAGTATCAGACATGGATTGTCATCAAATAAACTAACAATCAACAGTACACAATTCATTATATACCATATCTATGCAAGTATATACAAAAATTACCTCTAAAAGACTTTTTAGTAACACTTCTTACATGAAACAATACCAACACCACTAAAAGACTTTTAATTGACACTTCTAACATGAAACATGTCAACCAACATAAATATATCTACAGAGATGCCAACTCAAATTGAAGCTTTGGAGTAATCAGAGCAGTAATCAGTAATCACTGGTGTTTTAATTTAATTTAATTTAACAATTTGCTCTCCAGGATATTTATGAATCTAAATAATTCATGACAAAAAATTTGATTTGAAGGAGGACAAGCCTAATAGAGTAATTATTGGCTCAAAATTGATACTATTAGGCCTTAATTGTAACTATTACACCAAAATTGATACTATTACGCCAAAATTGTAACTATTACGCCAAAATTGTAACTATTACACCAAAATTGTAACTATTACACCAAATTGTAACTATTACGCCAAAATTGTAACTATTAAACCAAAATTGTAACTATTACACCAAATTGTAACTATTACGCCAAAATTGTAATGGTTGGCATCACTGTGTACAGATGTACAGACGAAATGGTCTGAAGGTAGCTGAAGCCCGACACGTAAAACCAGAGAAAATAACATTTGTGAAAAAACTCTGGAACCGTGTTCCCTCAACGTATGCAGCGCTACCTCTACTGGAGGGTTTACAGTATCAGACATGGAGCAACAATAACAATACAGTTGTTACATTAGCGCTTCTGATCTGAGCTTGCATGAAACAACGAAATACAAACACGCTGAACGCTCTACATTCGACATGCAGTATATCGCACAATTTGTAAAATTTGTTGAGAAAAGATACAGTGAATGGAGTACTACTTAGGTTGAATTTATGTATGCAACGCAGACTCTTTTGACACAAAATACAATTGAAAACCCCGATCACCACACGGTGTTGAATTACATCATTACCCATTGGGTAAGATAAATATATACATACTTCACATATGTGTTTGGTAGTGTGATCGGGAACACTGACAATAGTAAGATAACTGCGAGAACAAAATATCATGCATATTTAACAAAACCGGCAATGCAGATCTTGACAAGGAATTATGGCAAGGATAGTTAGTCATCATAAAAATGTGCACACCAGACAGCAGTAGGAAAGGGATACAGGAAGGTTTCAGTAGGAATACATTATCATAGGAAAGCTGGCAGAAACTAGAGCCACAGGTAAGCTCATGTACAATTATAGTACATGACTTAACTAACATTTTAAAGCTATTCATTGGGATCGCTATTAAGTAAGAGACTTCTTTCTATAGGCATTAAGACCTATTGTGAGGTTTTACTTTCCATTCGGGTTAAATCTCATAAACAGGGATGCTGTAATGTCCCTGGGATTTTATACGATATTCAAGTCATAAGCATAAGTATTCTTTGGCGGATCCTTTTGTATCACTGTTGTATCGCAGTATGGATCACTTGTAACTGAAGCTATATATATATAATGTAAGTTCTCTATAACATCAACGATAGCTGTCCAGGTCACACTCGCACTGAATCACCCTCATAACACCCCCGGGTTGTTCCTCAACATACACTCGGCCATCATAAGTCCACGTGGAAGAGATTAGGTGTTTTGCTTTTAAGTCACGGGTCAGTTTGAACAGTTTACTTTGATACTTGGTTAAGTCCTCGTTTATATAGACTGAACTTCTATTTTGTCTCAGCATTCTTCTGTTAGAAATTACTTTGTTCCTGGTTAAAAAGTTGACGAATTTTACGATTACCTGTCTGTTCCTATCCATGTTTATCTTACCGACTCGGTAGCATCTGTCGATGTCCGATGCTGTTAGGTCAAGATGTAAGTCTCTCAGGACCTCCATCACTAATGCCTCCGTGTTTTCGTCCTTGGACTCAGGTAGGCCTCTAATACGTAGAGAGTATCTTCTACTGTACTGTTCATTATCATAATTTATCTCAAGCTCATGTCGAAGATGAGTAATTTCTTGTACAATATCTCTGGCTCTGCCTTCAACAAGTTCCTTTGCTACACTCTCAAATAACTTGGCAAAATTGTCTTTGAGTTGGGGCAACATGAGAGCTGTGCTGAGTTTAGTTGCGAGAATGTCAATGGAAAAGTTAAATAGTGTTGATGGAGATGAGATAGGTTTTATTTCACAATTTTGTGAAAAGAGAATTTGAAGGTCAATCAATATCTTGCAGAATTGTTTGCAAATCTCAACAAATTTATCTAAAACAGGACCTGCATCATACTCTACACATGAATCAGAACCACCATATTTTCTTATAAACCTATCACTAGGATATCGCGATAACTTGTCTGCTTTATAATTGTCTGTTCCCTTAATGTGTTTACATGCCAGGGTGAAGTGGTGTAATTTTTCTTCCTTCTTGATTAATTCTAATATCATTTTTTCAGCTATATTTATCTTTTGCCCTTCCTTTTCATTAATTATGTTAACAGTGCACATATTGTCACAGTAAGCCAAAACCATCTTACCATACCATAGTGGACCCAAAAGTTTCACAGCAACATAAATGGCTAACATTTCTAAAACATTGATATGAAAGCATAATCCCATTTTAAAGAGATAACTGAAAATGTGTAATGTGGAGCCATCATACAACAAGCCCCCAAGGCCAGGATGTCGTAGAATCTCTCCATTCGGGCCATAATGTCTTCTTTTCTTGCAGGAATCTGTGGCAACAGCAGTTACAACATGGCCAAAACAATTTCTAATATTCGTTTCGGCATTTCCATCATATGTTGAACAGAGTGCATTAAATTCCTTACAAAAGCTGCGGACATTTGCCTCATCCTTTTCGATGTAGCTGAAACATACAACATACACAGGCTTCAGACACCAACAGTTGAGAAAATCATTATCGATCATAGGCCAGAACAGTCTAATTACTGTAAATCTTCAAATTAATGCGAGTGTGAATTAAATGCGAAAAATGCGCGTGGTCTTTGCTCGCATTAATAAACATCGTATTTATATCAACAATAAGACATTTTGGATAGCAGAAATACCAACTTAGACATACGCTGAAAACAAACAACTATGTATTCCACACCACTGTTTGTTGAGCACTTACTAAGTCCTACTAAGTAAGTAAGTGCTCAACAAACAGTGGTGTGGAATTCATAGTTGTTTTTATTTCAGCGTATGTAAGTAAGTGCTCAACAAACAGTGGTGTGGAATACATAGTTGTTTGTTTTCAGCGTATGTAAGTAAGTGCTCAACAAACAGTGGTGTGGAATACATAGTTGTTTGTTTTCAGCGTATGTAAGTAAGTGCTCAACAAACAGTGGTGTGGAATTCATAGTTGTTTTTATTTCAGCGTATGTAAGTAAGTGCTCAACAAACAGTGGTGTGGAATACATAGTTGTTTGGTTTCAGCGTATGTAAGTAAGTGCTCAACAAACAGTGGTGTGGAATACATAGTTGTTTGGTTTCAGCGTATGTAAGTAAGTGCTCAACAAACAGTGGTGTGGAATACATAGTTGTTTGTTTTCAGCGTATGTCTAAGTTGGTATTTCTGCTATCCAAAATGTCTTATTGTTGAGACATTTTGGATGAGCAGTACTTGTAACAAATATATAAACAATGTCATTCAAACACTAATTACATCCTGTGAATTGTCACTGCTGGGGTCAAGACAAGTGTTCTACTCACTTATGTCAGCACTGATCACACATGCAAGTCTAGGCAGATGCCACCCACGCAACATGGTGTCTTTGTTCTTTGCGACTGCGTCAAAGGCCGACACGAGCCAGCGCGCATGCATTGTTGTAGCGGAAGTACACTACTCAGCGCTAATAAGCGGTGCTATTTGGTGTGTGATTGGATTAATGTAAGGTTGGATTACGATGAGGATTCTCCTGTAAACCTGACAGAGGACATTTTCTTTATACATAAATCCACTGATGCTTGAGAGGAGGGGGTGTCGCATTCATATTGAGTCGCATTTTTGGCTAGGGGCCAGAGGTCACATTCTTTTGGAGACACATTAATTTCACGATTTACAGTACCACTTAACTAAGGCAGGCAAACAAATAACCTTCTTGTGGATACCCGCCCACGTAGGAATATACGGTAACGAAAACGCCGATAAAGCAGCTAAACTATCCCTCAAAATCCCAGAAATAAGCTTAAACTTACCCATCTCAAAATCAGAAATTAAAAGTGTAAACAAGCAAAAAATCACAAAAAATGGCATAACCTATATCTAAACTCAAATAGCCAAATCAAAAAAGTGCTCAGCAAACCACTAACCAAACCCAAAATTCTCCATCCATCGAAAAAAATCGACAGAGTAATCACTAAACTCCAAACAGGACACACCAACCTAAATAACCACCTAAAAATTTTTAAAAAACACACTACAGGCAACTGCCCACACTGCAAACAACCAGAAACCCCAGAACACGCACTCATCCACTGCACACACTACCTAACACATCGAACCGCATTACAAACCACCCTCAATCTAAACAAGGCTCTAACTCTAGAAGCAATACTAAACCCACAAAATAAACTAGAAAACTTCAAGGCCTTAGGCGTATTCTTAATAGAAACGGAACTAATAAAACGCATCTAAAAACACAATAACCTACCAAATCAAAATCACATAAACAAACAAACATCCACCATACCCAGCTCCCTTAGTTCTCCTCCCCAATCCAATCGGCATCTATTCCAAATCTCAAAATTCCCAAATTCTATATAAGCAACCCCTAAAACCCCCCTCTAGGGTTGCACAGACCACCTTCGCCCCTTTCGGAAACACATTAAATGGCCTGGCCGGGCCCGTGTGCGAAATACGCATCAGTCGGAAAGCGCACGTTAAATCTCCAAAGAAAGTAAAGTAAAGTAAAGTACCACTTTCACACTCCCTCTCCCCAAAAGACGAGGGAAAAGCAAACATTTTCAGGTAAAAAATGTATTGACTTCATTTATAACTGCATTCTTCCTTTTTCCATATTTCATGTTGTAATCATTATTCTATTGCTTTCAGTTGGCTTAAATCTTACTCAGATCTGTAAAACCAATCCTAAAATTTGTGAGTATTAGGATACAACACAAGAATGTTGTTAGCCCTAATTTAGAAAAAAACATATCACCACAGCCAGGATCTACATTGTTGTGAACTCTTAAACACTAAGATCAGTGCCAGCAGATTTAAACAGAAAGAAAACTCAAAACTCACGAAATGTCTATGAACAGTTTTCCATGTTCTTCCTCTATGCTACCATGGCAGGGATGACGGCAATTATGTTTGAGTTTCTGGAGCAGGTGTTGCAACCATTTTCTTTGCATTGTTGGTGGCAGACTGAAAAAAAAGATTAAAGAAATAAATAGCATGATATTGTGCTGTCATCTAACAAATAGTAGTTGTTGATTTTGTTGATGATTTGTTTGTTAAATTTATTTGTAATACAGAAGTAATTGACTTTAACCATGTTACTGTGCTTTTATGAAAAATAATGTCTAATTTGTTATTTTGAAATGGCTAAAACATGATTATTAGGCCAGAACAATTTGATTATTTGGTCTTGAAATTAATGTACGCATAAAGCAGAAAATACAAGTGTATTTTGGCTGCAATCACACCATTCTAAACTTTCAGATTTTCACATGTGGCCCTCTTCACTGTCAACTATGCAACTAGTTGTCTCCACTATAGCACTTAGCAGCTTACAGCTCTACTGTGCATGAAGGCTGAGAAACATCACTTCTTTCCTCTGTGTGCTAGAGTCAACACATCTACGTATTTCTCTGGCACTTGACTGCAGTCACACTATTTCTAATACATTTCAGTATACGTTTCTTAATGCTACTTATGTTCTAGTAGTTTTATCGGCTTTGATTCATGAGTATTAGTTTTATAAGTGTAATCTTGTGATCTCTCCAGGATGGCGTCCTCCACTCCTCAGTCAGCTCGTCACAAATGTGTCCGATTTATGATCTCAGGTGACTGTCACATAGATTGTTAAAAGTGCAGAGAATCCACAGAGAAAAGAGGATGATCGCAATCCCCTCTGTCTGCCTTTCTCCAAGAAAGCCTTTAACAGCTAAGCAACGCTATCACTGCGGCTAAGAGGAAGGATGCGACCAAGACAAGGGTTCGCCTGATCAACCGCCCAACACTCAACAGTTGTCTGTGCTGCCGGCACATCCAGAAATTCCTGCTATTTGCTCACCAGAAGTGCAAGATGACATCACTTTTTTAATCCAGTCCTTTGGCTTTATTGCTGGAGGTAGAATGACTGAAAAGACTCGATTCCACTCAGGCACAGAAGAATCCCCCGGCCAAGAGACCACATGGAGCACTGTCCACATCAGCCGCCACCGCCACACGGCAAGTGAACGGAGCTTCAAGTCCAGCCATCAACCAACAGTCCATCTCCAAACATCATTTGCCTTACCCTCACAGGTCCTGGCACAGCTCACCAACCGTCTAACTAAGCCAGCAGAGAAACCATCTCATGGTTCTCTAATGGACCGCACAGGTTATTCAGCCCTCCAACCCATTGTTAAGGAATCTGCCTTACCTCCGTCTGGATTCTGTATGGACAGCACAGTCTCTATGGACTTCCAAGCTAGCGTTAAAGAGACAACTTGGTCACCGTACAGTGACTGAGTGTATTTGCATGTGAAATCTCACTTGTCTTCATGTAAGGTCTTGACTCACTACAATCCAGACCTTCCTCTCAACTTAGCAGCTGATGCTTCTCCATATGGAGTAGGTGCCGTCCTGTCACACTTCATGCCAGATGGTACTGAGAAGCCTGTGGCGTTTGCGTCACTTCCTTGTCACCTGCAGAAAAGAACTATTCACAGCTTGATAAAGAAGCACTGGCAATAGTGTTTGGCATAAAGAAATTCCACCAGTATTTGTTCGGACGGAAATTTCAGCTGTTAACAGATCACAAACCCCTCATGGGTCTACTTGATGCAGAGAAAGGTATTCCAGTGATGGCGTCAGCCAGACTCCAGAGATGGGCCTTGATGCTGGCAGCGTATGATTACAGTATTGTGTATAAACCAGGCTCAAAGTTAGCAAACGCAGATTGTTTGAGCAGATTGCCTCTGCAAACCTCTGTGTCTGTGCCGCCTGTTCCAGGAGACACAATAATGCTCCTCGAGAACATGGCAGAATTCCCAGTGAATGTGTGACAAATTCAGTTTTGGACAAGGAAGGATCCCTTGTTAGCTAGAGTGAAGTTAGTGGAATGTGGTTTTCCAGGATACATGAAGCCAGATACAGAGCTAAAGCCATATATTCAGAAGAAAACTGAGCTAAGTGTTCAGGATGGTGTGATTCTGTGGGGTAACAGAGTACTGGTTCCACCTCAGGGTAGGAAACAGTGTGTAGATGTGTTGCATGAAGCTCACCCTGGAATAGCGAGGATGAAAGCTATTGCCAGAGGTCTTGTATGGTGGCCGTGCATTGATTCAGAGCTGGAGAACAAGGTCAGGACTTGTTCCATATGTCAGGAGAGTCGTTCTTCACCCTGCGAAGCAAAGTTACATCTGTGGGACTGGCCGTCCAAACCATGGTTACGTCTGCACATTGATTATGCAGGTCCCTTACAAGGTCAAATGTTCCTCATCATCGTAGACTCTCACTCTAAGTGGATGGATGTTTTCCCTGTCAACAGTGCAACTACGAGTGCCACTCTCGAGTGTCTTCGGAGAACATTTTCCATTCATTGTCTACCTGAGACAATAGTGTCTGATAATGGGACATGTTTCACAAGTGATGAATTTGCTATATTCATCAAAAGAAATGGTATTCAACACATCTGTACATCCCCTTACCATCCAGCGTCCAATGGACTGGCAGAGAGGAGTGTCCAGACGTTCAAACAGGGATTAAAGAAGCTCAGCGGCAGTTCCATCAACACAAGGGTGTCAAGATTCCTGTTCAGGTATTCGTAACACTCCGCAGACTACGACAGGGTCATCTCCAGCGCAGTTACTATTGGGAAGACGTCCACGTTCCCATCTTGACTTGCTTCACCCTGACATCGGTGTTAAAGTTCAACATAAGCAAGAGAAGCAGGCAAACTACCACAATAGACATACAAAGTCACGAGAGTTCGCTGTCGGTGATCTTGTTTACGTCAGGAACTTTCTTGGTAAGCCGAAGTGGTTACCAGGGGAGATAATCCAGTGTACAGGGCTTATCTCCTTTAAAGTCAGCTTGGAAATGACAAAATTGCGAGGCGACTTGTAGATCACCTCATCAAGCGTTATGTGGACCCTGATGCTGTGAAACCAGAATCCCCAGAATTGTTGGAAGAAAGTGAAGTGTCGAAGTCTGCCATCACTATCTCACCAGAGCTTCCAGAGCCTAGTTCTGTACCAGTATCACCCGCAGACAAGCCATTTCCTTGTACCACATTACCTACATGTGACACTAGTCCAGAACTGTCCTCATCTGTCGAGCTCCAGATAGACTAAATCTGTAAACTACTGTATTTCATTGTTGAGTGTTCTTTTTCAGGAGATTGAACTTTAAGGTGCATGCTCAATTCATTTATTTCAGAAACCAAGTGAATGAACATTAAGTTTGTGAATTTCAGTGTTCAAGAATACTTCAGTGAACTTTATGGGAAAATTTCCATTGAACTCTTTGAGTTGATCACTATTTCTTTCTCAGTGACTGATGAGTTAGTAACATTGTTCACTAATTGCTTAAACAACAAGTTGTTAACTAAAGGGGGAGGAATGTAGCGTTTTAGTATCATATAACCAGTCACTTGCTTTATCCATACAATGTCTCTAGATAAATGAGTGCGCACGTGTAACAGCGCCGGAAGTGTGTGTTGTGTGCTAGCAGACCACATGGCTGCCGACTACACTTGACTGAGTGTACTGAGAATACACCCTTTCTCCGGAAAGCCAAGTGTTTGTTGTAGCTGCCAAAGTCATCACAAACGCCAACAGCGTTAATCTTAGATTAGATCCAAGGCTGCATCTTCACAGTCCAAGAAGAAGTTGATGAGTCAACTTATCACTGCCCCTACAATGTTTAACAATCAACCTGGGAAGATCATAGATGTGGTTTGATCTAATCTGAGATAAGAGCTGTATCTACAATAAACCTCACAGCCATCATGAAGCATCTGAACCACCCCAGAAGAAGTATATCCCTTCTGGGAAAGAATCATCTCAACAATTCATACAAAGAGATCATTCACAGTATCATCCTGACTCCTTTCGTCAATCAGTTTTATTATAAAGTTTGAGACAAAAGGTTACTGGACAATCTTTTCCTGGACTTTATTATTTTGAAATGGCTAAAAGGTGACAGCAGCAAGTAATTAAATTGGTCTTAAGAGAATGAACATGCTAAGAAGAGCACCATTCCTGGTCTTTAGAAAATACAAATACAAATACAAGAGATAAAAATAAGTTTCTTACCGAACACGGCGAACAGAATGCGACAGACCTGTCCACAGAAGGAAAGATAAGTTACGTTGGTACATTATGCATACAAGATGAACATAAAGGAAATGACTTTGACCAAGTGAGTGAGTTGGGTTTACATCCCTTCAAACAGTGTTCCAGCTTAATGTGGATGGAAAGCCTGAAGAGACGCAGGTGAAACCAACGAGCGCAGGTATGGTGACAAACCTAGAAACATAATCAGGTGGAATCCAGGATTTTAACCCATGATCAAAGTGCCCAGACTTTATGTTAGAACAAAGTGACACATATGACATGCATGTTTCATCACATTGTTAGTGAAAGATAGTTTCAGAATCTTGAATACAGTACTGACCATTCAGATGCAATGGTGATATATATTCCTACCAAGTTAGGACAGTCTGGACATAATGAATATTAAGAAGTCACCAGGCCACTCCATAAAACTCCAGTACATATTACAAGGCCATGATACATCTGATAGTGACAGTGTTCACCAACTATTCACCACTTGGAATATGTTTTTCTAAGAGGGAAAATATATGAAACACTTTTGTCTTCATTTTGAAAAGTTAAGTGGACTATTACTCACCAGTGGTGGGGCTTGTATCTGGCTGATTGAATGAGTGACTGTTAGGCTATTAGTATAGTGGTATGTTTCTGGTTCTGATTTGGCAATGTTGTGCCTTTTCTTTTCTTTTTTCGCGTTATCCATTTTTTAAACTACATTTTTTTTATGACATTAGCTATCTTCTGAAACTTTCTGTTGTCTCTGATATTAAAATGCCCCTTTTCAAGTGATTCTTAAAGGGGCTCTAATCTCTGGCTTCTACCCGGCTGATTAACCCTAACCCACTAGGGTTCACTTGGTGCCGTGAGTCGATATGCTCGTTAACACAACAAAGTCTGACAAGAGACTGGGCTATTGTCTGTAAGGACAGTGTAAATAAACTTAAGGTAATATCTGTACACATTTCTGAACACTCATTGGTTACTCGTGATCTGTGAAGGTTTTGATGGTACAAAAGGCCCATGTCAATTAATTTCTTCTACCTAAACAAACAGAACCGTGGAAGACATCGCAGCAAGAGCGTAAGGACCAGTTACAAAAAAAACATCCATGAAAATATTAATCGAAAATCGTTGATTGATTAATCACTGTTATCTTGCACAGTGGATTTGCCAAAAGTAAGTGTTTATATATGTAGTTTTACAAAAGCAGACGGAATACACCCATATTTGGGCGTGAAGTTCTAATGTATAAACAAAATACTTTCTTCATAGGATTAACCAATAATAAAATACAAAAGAAATTAAGAAGAATATCACATTGCCTCTTGTGTCTGCTCAGGTCTTGTGTGTGTGTGTGTGTGGAAGATTATATGGACTTTTGGGCTTGTGAGCCAATTAACTCTAAGGGGGCACTGATCTACAGGAATGGCCCGGGTCTGGTTGTTGCCTTTATTGTATTTTCCATTGAGTACCCGGATTATATACCAGAAATCTTGACTAGTTTGTGACCTATGACAGAAGGCGCATTTGTCACTTGTACTGATAGTATAAGATCGTATCATCACATTGATCAACAAAGTAAAAATAATAGTTTTGTCTTGGAAATAATAAGGAACTGTAGGTTTCTTTGGTGACAAAGTTTTGAAAGGTCACTTGCTTGGTATTGTGCGATTTTTGTTTACACTATTTTGATGTATTTTAACACAAACTAAATATTTCATCTGAGTGTTGCTTATTTGATCGCGACTATATGTCATAGTCAATGTGTAAAAGACAATTTATTAAATGCCTAAATATTCAGTATTTTACAAACTGACTGAAATATCTGTCCATTTATCTTATTATGATGACAAATTCCAAACATTTTGATCTTTAATTTCATATCCCAGTGACATAAAAATGACCGGATTTAAAGTACATTTCTATAATTTTATCTAATCCTGACTCATACTTATTGCTTTTTACTTCTCATTTCTGATAGTGGAAACTTCCTGAACTGTGGTATTGAAAATGACATTGGCGTGAAAGTTCATGTTTTTACAACATTCAATCATATTGTTGAAGTGAGAACTTTCCCGCCTTTGTACAAGGAAGAGCTGTATGAATTTTCCTTTTTACGGAAACAACTCTTAATATATAGTTGACAGAGAAAACGACTTCTGTTGAAAATCTAAAACTTTAGCTATAGTTGTATTCCACCCAAATACAGGATTATTGAAGTTATGCAACAGAGGTAGTATTCTTAGAATTATGAACAATGATAACTATTGTTTTGATTTTGAAAGCCCAGAATATAAAATGGTCAGCCTCTTGAGTGATGAATGACTTACCTTGAGTGGCTTGATTTTTACTCTGTAATGATATCTCATTCTCAGATGGTTCCTTTTTATCACCTGAAACCAAGATATTTTCAACTGTGAGTTATTTGAATAGCATATTATTGATTTGCATGCCGTTTTCTGAATGATTATGTTCAAAGTAGTCAGGGGAAACATTCTGTCCCACTACTGGTACCCGCCATTTTGAATTCTCCATTCATGATCAGGATACAGTGATCTTTGTATTGGTGTCATTAATCTTCCTAGTACTTGAGAATAAGAATCTAGATACACTATACGACCAGCTAAAGTTACCTAATGTATCACTTTAGCTATATTTAGTTATCAGTATTTATCATCTGTATGTATCTTAGCAGGACAGGGGCGGTCGGGTAGCCTAGTGGTTAAAGCGTTTGCTCGTCACGCCGAACACCCGGGTTCGATTCCCGACATGGGTATAATGTGTGAAACCCATTTCTGGATTCCCCTGCCGCGATATTGCTGGAATATTGCTAAAAGTGGCGAAAAACCATACTCACTCACTTACTCACTCACTCACAAATATGGTCACATCTGCCTGTTATCCTGCTCATGAGCAGAACACCACTAGTCGCAGGTAATGTGTGCCTGTAGGCTATGTATAGTGGTATGTTTCTGGTTCTGATTTGGCAACGTTGTGTCTTTTCTTTTCTTTTTTGCTTTATCCATTTTTTAAACTACATTTTTTTAATGACATAAGCTATCTTCTGAATCATTCAGTTGTCTCTGATATTAAAATGCCCCTTTTCAAGCGATTCTTAAAGGGGCTCTAATCTCTGGCTTCTACCCGGCTGTCTAACCCTAACCCACTTGGGCTCACTAGGTGCATGTTCGTTAACGCAACGGAGTCTGACAAGAGACTGGGCTATTGTCTGTAAGGACAACGTAAATATACTGTGAGGTAATATCTATACACATTTCTGAACACTCATTGGTTACTCGTGATCTGTGAAGGTTTTGATAGTACAAAAGGCCCATGTCAATTAATTTCTTTTACCTAAACAAAAAGAATGGTGGAAGCACATCCGATGTTGTTATTAATTTTTGAAATAACCCTGATGGTTGTAGTTTAATGGAAAAAAAAAAGCATCCACATTGAAAGCATTTCAGATTTTGGATTTCGTATTACATGGATAATACGAATGCCACTACCGTGTTGTCATCCATGTATCTTGGTATAACCCTACACCCATGTATTTGTTGTCATTCACTTAATGTTACCGGTATAATTAGTGGTAGCTCCAGTCAGAATACCTGACAAAGGTTCAGGGCGAATCTGGGATTTTAACCCATGATCGAAGTGCCCAGACTTTATGTTAGAACAAAGTGACACATATGACATGCATGTTTCATCACATTGTTAGTCAAAGATAGTTTCAGAATCTTGAATACCATACTGACCATTCAGATACAATGGTGATATATATTCCTACTAAGTTTGGACAGTCTGGACATGATGAATATTAAGTCACCAGGCCACTCCATAAAACTCCAGTACATATTACAAGGCCGTGATACATCTGATAGTGACAGTGTTCACCAACTATTCACCACTTGGAATGTTTTTCTAAGAGGGAAAATATATGAAACACTTTTGTCTTCCTTTTGAAAAGTTAAGTGGACTATTACTCACCAGTGGTGTGGTTTGTGACGAGTTCGTGCCCTGGCTGTTTGGATGGGTTGTCACTCTCTGAAACAGGTAATGTGTGACTGTTAGGCTATGTATAGTGGTATGTTTCTGGTTCTGATTGGCAACATTGTGCCTTTTCTTTTCCTTTTTCACTTTATCAATCTTTTAAACTACATTTTTATGACATTAGCATTCTTCTGAAACTTTCAGTTGTCTCTGATATCCAAATGCCCCTTTTCAAGTTATTCTTAAAGGGGCTCTAATCTCTGGCTTCTACCCGGCTGTATAACCCTAACCCACTTTGGCTCACTAGCTGGGGTAAGTCGATTTGCTGACTACCTTTTTGTATGACATCGCAGCAAGAGCATAAGGACCAGTTACAAAAAAAACATCCATGAAAATATTAATCGAAAATCATTGATTGATTAATCACTGTTATCTTGCACAGTGGATTTGCCAAAAGTATGTGTTTATATATGTAGTTTTACTAAAGCAGACGGAATACACCCATATTTGGGCGGGAAGTTCTAATGTATAAACAACCTACTTTCTTCAAAGGATTAACCAATAATAAAATACAGAAGACATTAAGAAGAATATCACATTGCCTCTTGTGTCTGCTCAGGTCATGTGTGTGTGTGTGTGTGGAAGATAATATGGACTTTTTGGCTTGTGAGCCATTTAGGTATCACTCCAATTAACTCTAAGGGGGCACTGATCTACAGCAATTGCCCAGGTCTGGTTGTTGCCTTTATTGTATTTTCCATTGAGTACCCGGATTATTTACCAGAAATCTTGACTAGTTTGTGACCTATGACAGAAGGCGCATGTGTCGCTTTTACTGATTGTATAAGATCGTATCATCACATTGATCAACAAAATAAAAATAATAGTTTTGTCTTGGAAATAATAAGGAAATGTAGGTATCTTTGGTGACAAAGTTTTGAAAAGTCACTTGCTTGGTATTGTGCGATTTTTGTTTACACTATTTTGAGTTATTTTATCACAAACTAAATATTTCACCTGAGCATAGGTTATAATATCGTGTGTATATGTCATAGTCAATGTGTAAAAGACAATTTATTAAATGCCTAAATATTCAGTATTTTACAAACTGACTGAAATATCTATCCATTTATTTTATTATGATGAGAATTCCAAACATTTTGAGCTTTAATTTCATAACCCAGTGACTGAAAATGACCGGATTTAAAAAACATTTCTATAATTTTATCTAATTCTGACTCATACTTATTGCTTTTCACTTCTCATTTCTGATAGTGGAAACTTCCTGAACTGTGGTATTGAAAATGACATTGACGTGATAGTTCATGTTCTTACAACATTCAATCATATTGTTGAAGTGAGAATTTTCCCGCCTTTGTACAAGGAAGAGCTGTATGATTTTTCCTTTTTATGGGAACAACTCTTAATATATAGTTGACAGAGAAAACGACTTCTGTTGAAAATCTAAAACTTTAGCTATAGTGTTATTACACCCCAAATACAGGATTATTGAAATTATGCAACAGAGGTAGTATTCTTAGAATTATGAACAATGATAACTATTGTTTTGATTTTGAAATCCCAGAATATAAAATGGTCAGCCTTTTGAGTGATGAATGACTTACCTTGAATGGCTGGAGTTCCACTATGTGTGACTTTCTCATTCTCAACTGGTACCTTTGTATCACCTGAAACCAAGATATTTTCAACTGTTAGTTACATGTTACAAGGCCATGATACATCTGATAGTGACAGTGTTCACCAACTATTCATCACTTGCAATATGTTTTTCTAAGAGGGTAAATATATGAAACACTTTTGTCTTCCTTTTGAAAAGTTAAGCGGACTATTACTCACCAGTGGTGTGGCTTGTGACAAGTTGTTGCCTGTCCTGATTGGATGGGCTCTCAGTCTCTGAAAAAGGTAATGTGTGACTGTTAGGCTATGTATAGTGGTATGTTTCTGGTTCTGATTGGCAACATTGTGCCTTTTCTTTTCCTTTTTCACTTTATCAATTTTTTAAACTACATTTTTATGACATTAGCATTCTTCTGAAACTTTCAGTTGTCTCTGATATCCAAATGCCCCTTTTCAAGTGATTCTTAAAGGGGCTCTAATCTCTGGCTTCTACCCGGCTGTATAACCCTAACCCACTTTGGCTCACTAGCTGGGGTAAGTCGATTTGCTGACTACCTTTTTGTATGACATCGCAGCAAGAGCATAAGGACCAGTTACAAAAAAAACATCCATGAAAATATTAATCGAAAATCATTGATTGATTAATCACTGTTATCTTGCACAGTGGATTTGCCAAAAGTATGTGTTTATATATGTAGTTTTACAAAAGCAGACGGAATACACCCATATTTGGGCGTGAAGTTCTAATGTATAAACAACCTACTTTCTTCAAAGGATTAACCAATAATAAAATACAGAAGACATTAAGAAGAATATCACATTGCCTCTTGTGTCTGCTCAGGTCATGTGTGTGTGTGTGTGTGGAAGATAATATGGACTTTTTGGCTTGTGAGCAATTTAGGTATCACTCCAATTAACTCTAAGGGGGCACTGATCTACAGCAATTGCCCAGGTCTGGTTGTTGCCTTTATTGTATTTTCCATTGAGTACCCGGATTATATACCAGAAATCTTGACTAGTTTGTGACCTATGACAGAAGGCGCATGTGTCGCTTTTACTGATTGTATAAGATCGTATCATCACATTGATCAACAAAATAAAAATAATAGTTTTGTCTTGGAAATAATAAGGAAATGTAGGTATCTTTGGTGACAAAGTTTTGAAAAGTCACTTGCTTGGTATTGTGCGATTTTTGTTTACACTATTTTGAGTTATTTTATCACAAACTAAATATTTCACCTGAGCATAGGTTATAATATCGTGTGTATATGTCATAGTCAATGTGTAAAAGACAATTTATTAAATGCCTAAATATTCAGTATTTTACAAACTGACTGAAATATCTATCCATTTATTTTATTATGATGAGAATTCCAAACATTTTGAGCTTTAATTTCATAACCCAGTGACTGAAAATGACCGGATTTAAAGAACATTTCTATAATTTTATCTAATTCTGACTCATACTTATTGCTTTTCACTTCTCATTTCTGATAGTGGAAACTTCCTGAACTGTGGTATTGAAAATGACATTGACGTGATAGTTCATGTTCTTACAACATTCAATCATATTGTTGAAGTGAGAATTTTCCCGCCTTTGTACAAGGAAGAGCTGTATGATTTTTCCTTTTTATGGGAACAACTCTTAATATATAGTTGACAGAGAAAACGACTTCTGTTGAAAATCTAAAACTTTAGCTATAGTGTTATTACACCCCAAATACAGGATTATTGAAATTATGCAACAGAGGTAGTATTCTTAGAATTATGAACAATGATAACTATTGTTTTGATTTTGAAATCCCAGAATATAAAATGGTCAGCCTTTTGAGTGATGAATGACTTACCTTGAATGGCTGGAGTTCCACTATGTGTGACTTTCTCATTCTCAACTGGTACCTTTGTATCACCTGAAACCAAGATATTTTCAACTGTTAGTTACATGTTACAAGGCCATGATACATCTGATAGTGACAGTGTTCACCAACTATTCATCACTTGCAATATGTTTTTCTAAGAGGGTAAATATATGAAACACTTTTGTCTTCCTTTTGAAAAGTTAAGCGGACTATTACTCACCAGTGGTGTGGCTTGTGACAAGTTGTTGCCTGTCCTGATTGGATGGGCTCTCAGTCTCTGAAAAAGGTAATGTGTGACTGTTAGGCTATGTATAGTGGTATGTTTCTGGTTCTGATTGGCAACATTGTGCCTTTTCTTTTCCTTTTTCACTTTATCAATTTTTTAAACTACATTTTTATGACATTAGCATTCTTCTGAAACTTTCAGTTGTCTCTGATATCCAAATGCCCCTTTTCAAGTGATTCTTAAAGGGGCTCTAATCTCTGGCTTCTACCCGGCTGTATAACCCTAACCCACTTTGGCTCACTAGCTGGGGTAAGTCGATTTGCTGACTACCTTTTTGTATGACATCGCAGCAAGAGCATAAGGACCAGTTACCAAAAAAAATCCATGAAAATATTAATCGAAAATCATTGATTGATTCATCACTGTTATCTTGCACAGTGGATTTGCCAAAAGTATGTGTTTATATATGTAGTTTTACTAAAGCAGACGGAATACACCCATATTTGGGCGTGAAGTTCTAATGTGAAAACAACCTACTTTCTTTAAAGGATTAACCTATAATAAAATACAGAAAATGCCTCTTGTGTCTGCACAGGTCACGTGTGTATGTGGAAGATAATATGGACTTTTTGGCTTATGAGCCATTTAGGAATCACTCCAATTAACTCTAAGGGGGCACTGATCTGAAGCAATGGCCCGGGTCTGGTTGTTGCCTTTATTGTATTTTCCATTGAGTACCCGGATGATATACCAGAAATCTTGACTAGCTTATGACCTGTGACAGTAAGTGCATGTGTCGCTTTTACTGATAGAATTAGGGCGTATCACCACATTGATCAACAAAATAAAAATATAGTTTTGTCTTGGAAATAATAAGGAAATTTAGGTATCTTTGGTGACAAAGTTTTGAAAAGTCACTTGCTTGGTATTGTGCGATTTTTGTTTACACCAGGGGTCCGGAAAATTTAAAATCCCAATCGGACATTTGCATTTAGGCCACGCCCCCTTCAAATAGCGTATTTTAGTACGACTTTTCACACACATTACAAGTTTACGTATTCATAATATGATGAATTATGAATTGTTTCAATTTAAATTGTTTAATTCACCGGACAATTAATAACAAATAATATCATTTTAGATTTACATGGAAAAAATACGTTTGTTTCTGTTATAATAACGATATGTTAACGTAGTGATCGGTCTAGTTAATATTCATGAGTTATATTCATATGAGTCTGCTCAAGTGTACGCGTTGTGACATTTGGATCGAGACTATTATCCCATATTTGGTTATCCCGTGACCTCACGGGAAAAGTTTTTTTTAAACTAAAGATTTTTTTAAAAACAAGACAGATAATTTAATCACAAATACTAAAATATCGTTGATAGCAATAGTTATTTGAATACTTTTTTCATCTGTACTTAATTATTGACCATAAACAAATTGGATATCGATCGTCCGAGAAAGCAAAATGGCGGTCAATCAAGATTCAATATACGACTAGCTACTGAAAACAATAAAATCTGCAAATCCTCATAGTTAGCCACGACTTACAAAATGATCGTCCAGACTTTGAGGGTTTGGCAGATCCGCTCGACTGATCTGCATCGGTCGACTGCCTGTCGTCACGCTTTCGCTTCTTGTCTGAGGTTACGTATCGTAGCATTGCGAGGATTATGAGGTACATCGATGATGCAAGGTAATAATGTACAGTTGTAAACACCTTTCACTCAAATTAACAAGATGTTCTCAGTAATTAATCCTCGATTAATCAGTGTCAACTCAGTTTATTGCCTGTTACAGTGATTGACCGATTAGACTATCATGTAGGTACGATGTATTTACAGCAATCAAAACAAACAAAGCTTGTCAGTGTAGTTAATCTTCATTGTGTTGCAACTGCAGACAGAAACTGCTCAGTCCTAACTGTTGATCATGTCCGGTCAAAATTTAAGAATGTCCGGACAATACTTTTTAAAATGTCCGGTAAGCAATATTTTAAAACGGACATTTGAGATTCCCAATCGGACATGTCCGGCGCATATGACGGTTTCCGGACCCCTGGTTTACACTATTTTGAGTTATTTTAACACTAACTAAATATTTCACCTGAGCATAGGTTATATTATCGTGTGTATATGTCATAGTCAATGTGTAAAAGACAATTTATTAAATGCCTAAATATTCAGTATTTTACAAACTGACTGAAATATCTATCCATTTATTTTATTATGATGAGAATTCCAAACATTTTGAGCTTTAATTTCATAACCCAGTGACTGAAAATGACCGGATTTAAAGAACATTTCTATAATTTTATCTAATCCTGACTCATACTTATTGCTTTTCACTTCTCATTTCTGATAGTGGAAACTTCCTGAACTGTGGGATTGAAAATGACATTGACGTGATAGTTCATGTTCTTACAACATTCAATCATATTGTTGAAGTGAGAATTTTCCCGCCTTTGTACAAGGAAGAGCTGTATGATTTTTCCTTTTTATGGGAACAACTCTTAATATATAGTTGACAGAGAAAACGACTTCTGTTGAAAATCTAAAAATTTAGCTATAGTGTTATTACAACCCAAATACAGGATTATTGAAATTATGCAACAGAGGTAGTATTCTTAGAATTATGAACAATGATAACTATTCCTTTGATTTTGAAATCCCAGAATATAAAATGGTCAGCCTTTTGAGTGATGAATGACTTACCTTGAGCGCCTTGAAATAGACTCTTTCGGGACATCTCACTTAGGTTAAATTGTTCGTTTGTATTATCTGAAACCAAGATATTTACAACTGTTAGTTATTTGAATACCATATGTTGATTTCAATATTTATAAACAGTTTTCCGTCATCTTCCTGTATCCAGGCTTTGTAGGAAAACTTGCAGACACCTTGGAGTATATCGAACAGTGTGGGACATCTTATAGCAGGTTGTTTCTCAAACCGATTTCTCAACAATGTTGTTTCGTGACTAAAAAGAGAGATTAAAACACTTATTTCACAATAATTTGCTGTCATCTTACAAATAAAAGTTGTTTATTTTGTTAATGATTGTTTGTTTAAATTTGTTTTTAATACAGAAATGATTGACTTAAACCATCACAATACAGTATACTAGTATATCAGCCTGGCCAACAGATCAAGAACCTAGCTTATGATGAAAATATCTAATTTTCTGCGATATTTTTACATTAATATAGTTGTCAGACCCACTTAATGACTCATATTATTTGTTCTCAAAATACATGAGACATAGGGAAAAAGAACTTAGAATAAAAATGAGTTTTTAAAATAAACAAGTCAAGTGCTTTGTTCCTATTACAGTATTTTCTTGTGTCTAGTACACCCACTTTTGGGGGGTTTATCCTTTGGGGGAAAAGAATTTAGCTTCACATAAACATTTCAGACTCTGCAAGCAGTAGAGTACAAACATGGTCAGTGTTATTATAAAGTTTGAGACAAAAGGTTACTGGACAATCTTTTCCTGGACTTTATTATTTTGAAATGGCTAAAAGGTGACAGCAGCAAGTGATTAAATTGGTCTTAAGAGAATGAACATGCTAAGAAGAGCACCATTCCTGGTCTAATTCCACCTGGCTGTCTAACCCTAACCCACTAGGGTTCACTTGGTGCCATGAGTCGATATGCTCGCTAACACAACAAAGTCTGACAACAGACTGGGCTATTGTCTGTAAGGACAGGGTAAATAAACTTTGAGGTAATATCTATACACATTTTTGAACACTCATTGGTTACTTGTGATCTGTGAAGGTTTTGATAGCACAAAAAAGGCCCATGTCAATTAATTTCTTCTACCTATACAAAAAGAACGGTGGAAGCACATCTGATGTTGTTTTTAATTTTAGAAATAACCTTGATGGTTGTAGTTTAACGGAAAAAAAGCATCCACATTGAAAGTATTTCAGATTTTGGATTTCATATTACATAGGACTGCAACGGTTCACCAGTACTTCCATTCGATTTGATTCATTAGTCTAATAATATACAATGATTCATGTATAATATGCATAAATAAGTAACAAAACGTGTATTTACTTTAACTTTTTATTGAACAGTGCAACACTGTGCACCAACAGGACAAGCTCATCACCTCAGACTGTGAGGTCAATCAGGTCATCAGGGATGATCATGTTTTTTGATAAAAACACAAGCATGTCCACATTGTCACCACTGAGGGAAGCCCTCTGAGCAGTCACAACATCCCCGGCTGTTGAAAAGACCCTCTCACTCGCCACACTTGAGCCCAAACCTTAGATTTTAGATGACTTGGGCTGGTGACAGCACGTCGTCTGCCATGCTTTCAAAGGGAGGTCACTCTAATCTATTTCTTTTTCAAGTGACAGTCATCAGTTTCAAACAAATGCATTTTTGGACATTTTCACTTCGTTGATATGAACGCAGTTCTTCTATTTTTTTCACCATTTTTGGACATTTTAAATTTATAACAAAAATTGAGTTGAACCGAATTAAAATCTAGACATTGTAGATTGAAGATCGAATCGAGACTACAAGTACGGGTTCTCAGTGCACCGAACCGAACCTTTGCAGCCCTAGTAGTACATGGATAATACGAATGACACTACCATGTTGTCATCAATGTATCCTGGTATAACCCTACACCCATGTATTTGTTGTCAATCACTTAATGTTACCGGTATAATTAGTGGTAGCTCCACTCATAATACCTGACAAAGGTTCCCATTTGGCTTTTCTTTTGTCTGGGGTAATTATTCTATCTAAATCCAGGTTTGAAGCTGATGTGAAGTGTATGTTTTGTATGACATTGCAGCAAGAGCGTAAGGACCAGTTACAAAAAAAACATCCATGAAAATATTAATCAAAAATTGTTAATTGATTAATCACTGTTATCTTGAATAGCATATTGTTGATTTGCATGTCGTCGTTTCACAACAATTTTCTGAATGATTATGTTCAAAGTAGTCAGGGGTGAAACGTGACTACCGCCCTATTCTGACTACTGTGGGAAGGGAGGCTTTTCATTCAGAGATGCATTCAATGGTAACCGACATTTTGAATACTGTGTTTGTGATCAGGCCATGTGGCTCAGTGATCTTTGTATTGGTGTCGTTAATCTTCTTATACTTGAGAATAAGAATCACGACACACTGTACAACCAGCTAATCAAGTTACCTAATGTATCAGTTAATGTTTAGCTATCAGGCTCTATTATCTGTATGTAATAATAATGCTCCGCTTTATCACAACGACTCCTTCACTTGGATGAAAGAACTCTTCTCAATAACAATGTATTGTAAAGTAAGAAAACATTGAATATTCAGTGTAAGCAAAATACAGTTTTTCGTACCTGATTGTTGTCTGGATGACACTGGATGAGACAGGGAAAGAAAATGTTGACTAACTTTCACGGCTTGTCTTCATAAACACGTGGTGATCTTCTGCGCAGTAATGATTTCATCATGTCCGGAAACTTATAACTTACGCACAAAAATTATTCTTTTTACCCATTGAAAATATACTCACACGTTTTTAATCCCTTTGGGTATTTATAACTTTCTTTGGGTATAAACATTTGAAAAAATGACAGAGGTGAATAACATCTCGCAAAATCTCATAACATGACTGCGGTACAGTGTTTTGAATGTGACCCATTTCCGCATTACCAGTATTCACACAAGTGGAGTTTATGTGTAAGTGAAGCTCTCATGCGATCAGTAAATAAAGACGAGGAAGGATATTTGTGTATGCAGGCAGAGAAGGTAATTACATCTCTACATGTTTCTAGTTGTCGCAGTGTGCATAGATCCGGAAACCTGACCAGAAGCAACAGGTTGGACCGCCGCTTATATATTTTCAAAAGCAGAGTTATTGACCTTTGGAACAAAAAGATCGCCAAGTACGCATGGTATTAGAGTAGTTATATTATTGTTTTTTCTTCTCAATTTTGATAGGATTATGATGATTTATTTTACCCATTTTACTCAAATATGAAGCTTTTCTGGAGCTCTCGTGACCTCGTGATTAGTTTACCCATTGTTTATGGAGATAAACCTTCTGTGTTTTGAAGTTTGATTTAGTCACAGTGTAGAGTAGATACCTCTTATTTTAGTTTGGAACCAAGTGCTTAAGCTTTTTTGTGGGCTTATATATTTATAAGGGGTTTCCGTAGCTAACAGAACACCTCTTTTTAACCAATCAGAGTCAAGCATTCTTCAAGGGGCTGTCGGGTAGCCTAGTGGTTAAAGCGTTTGCTCGTCACGCCGAAGACCCGGGTTTGATTCCCAACATGGGTACAATGTGTGAAGCCCATTTCTGGTGTTCTCAGCCCTGATATTGCTAAAAGCGGCGTAAAACCATACTCACTCACTCTCACTCACTCACTCACTCACTCACTCACTCACTCACTCACTCACTCACTCACTCACTCACTCAAACACTCACTCAAACACTCACTCACTCAAGCACTCTTCAATGTCCCAGTAGAAATAGTTATACAAGTACACTCAACACAACTATTGAAGGGTCACCCAGTTAAGGACGATACAATTGAAGGTCTCCTATTTAAACGATATAACTAAACTAATAATCAGTCTAAAGCGCCAGTTGTTAAAGACCCCACTAATGTGAATATTTGTAGCTGTATTAATGAAAATACTTAACCAGGGTAATAAATGCAGGAGCAGGTACCCACTGACCACTTTTGTCTCAAGTTTAAGCATTGTGTTCATGGTCACACGATCGTATAGCTCGAACACGTTGTCTTCTAAGGCGCCGATATTACCTGTGCAGAGTTGCGTCCCTTGGGCACGCCAGAAACCTATGATTGTGGGTTCGAATCCCGGTTCAACCCGATTGTGTTTCTAGGTTTGTCAGCACCATACCCGTGCCCGTGGGTTTCACCGAAGTGGTAAACGTCTGTGACCTGCATCACCTCGGGCTTTCCTCCCACATTAAGCTGACACGCCGCGATATAACTGGAATACTGTTAAAAGCGGCGTTAAACCAAACTCACTCACTCACTCACTATGTTTTTTTCCGTGCACAGTTTCTTTATGTTGCTAGTATATATATTCATTTAAAACCTCTGCCAAAAGCAGAGTTACCCCGGTAATTGTTCTCCGACTATATCATAAGCATGTGTATTTAAATGTATGAAATAGTGATGACACCAGGCGTTTGCAAGACCTGTCCTGCCACACTGGTGGCACCCGTCACAAACACATGCGAAGGCAGGTCAACTGTTCACCTGAAAAACATATGGTACAAGTCAAAATAGGGAATTGTGTCAGACATCACTTTTGTCACATATACAACAAATTTGGAATTGCCTCCACATGTCTACCATAAAGCAAATTATTCTGGTTATTGTTAGTAACATAATTTCCTTAAATTAAGAAATGATAATCCAGTTGACTTAAAATAAACAAAATAGCAATGTTTGTTTGTTTGTTATTTATAGCCACACTCAGTAATACTCCAGCTGTGTGATGGCAGTCTGTAAATAATTGAGTCTGGACCAGACAATACAGTGATTTTATTAACTGCATCTATGCTGTCGAGTATTGACACACTCATCAATGGTCAAGTATCAATACTTGGCTTAAAGTGAGTGTGTGTGTGAGTGAGTTGGGTTTTACGCTGGTTTTAACAGTATTCCAGTTATATCACGGCGTGTCAGCTTAATGTGGGAGGAAACCCCGAAGTGATGCAGGTCTCGGACGCTTACCACTTTGGTCAAACCCACGAGCACGGGTATGGTGCTGACAAATCTAGAAACATAATTGGGGCAAACCGGGATTCGAACCCACAATCATAGGTTTCTGGCGTGCCCAAGGGACGCAACTCTGCACAACAAATTGCGGCGCCGTAGACGACTGGGCCACCCGTGCCCCGTAAATAATTGAGTCTGGACCAGACAAAACAGTGATTTTATCCACGCTGTCGGAATAATGACACACACTCATCAATGGTCAAGTATCTGGAAGAACTTCAGTTTCCATCAAATTACTGTTAAATGATGTCAGGCAATGGTGAATTAGGGCCCCAGTCATGCAGAGTTGCCTCCCTTAGGTGTGCCAGAATCCTATGATATTCTTTTTAAATCCCAGATTCACCTGATTATGTTTCACTTCTGTCCAGACCCTGGAGAATAAATTGAAAAAGGAGTCCAACTCAAGTCTAGAATGACTTTGCAAGTCTAGATTTCCGCAGCTTGAAATTAAGCCTTGTTCGGGGCTTCATTTGGATGAGAGTTGACTGAACCTCCATGTTGTGTGTTTCAGCCAGGATGAGGCCCAGAAGATCGACCAGGAGCTGTTTGAGGACTACTCCTTCAGCGTGGAACAGCTGATGGAGCTGGCTGGGTACAGCTGCGCTGTCGCCATCGCCAGGGTCAGTCAGGCATCAGTTACCAGTTTTAGTTGTTGAAAAAAACATAGCCATAGAAAACTGCAAAATGATTTATGTTATGTTTTGTTACTTCCAAAAACACAAGGTGAAAAACTTTTCAACTCGTCTCGAATTGGTGAGGAGAATTTATAGAAATGTGACCTTGAAAGCTGGAAAATGATAATTTTAAAAATTGTTAGCTCACCTAAATGAAAGACAAGTGACCTCATGTCCTAGCCTGCTGGCTGGAAGCCCTTGAGGTCATCTGTAAACATATTCTCAAACACCACAGAGCAGGTGCTTGTCCAAAACATGACAGCACAATTTGGTCTCGAGGTTTGAGGACAACAGTGCAGTGCTGGTGTGTTGTATATATCTACAGAGTGTCTTGTTGCAATGTTTCTACAGAGTGTGTCTTGTTGCAGTGTATCTACAGAGTGTGTCTTGTTGTATATATCTACAAAGTGTGTCTTGTTGCAGTGTATCTACAGAGTGTGTCTTGTTGCAGTGTATCTACAGAGTGTGTCTTGTATATATCTACAAAGTGTGTCTTGTTGCAGTGTATCTACAGAGTGTGTCTTGTTGCAGTGTATCTACAGAGTGTGTCTTGTTGTATATATCTACAAAGTGTGTCTTGCTGTATATATCTACAGAGTGTGTCTTGTTGTATATATCTACAAAGTGTGTCTTGTTGCAGTGTTTCTACAGAGTGTGTCTTGTATATATCTACAGAGTGTGTCAAGTTGTATATATCTACAGAGTGTGTCTTGTTGTATATATCTACAAAGTGTGTCTTGTATATATCTACAGAGTGTGTCTTGTTGTATATATCTACAGTGTCTTGTATATATCTACAGAGTGTCTTGTTGCAGTGTTTCTACAGAGTGTGTCTTGTATATATCTACAGAGTGTGTCTTGTGTATATCTACAGAGTGTGTCTTGTTGTATATATCTACAGAGTGTCTTGTTGTATATATCTACAGAGTGTCTTGTTGCAGTGTTTCCCAATAGACAACATGTCCAAGGACAGCGGTGCAGTGCTGGTGTGTTGTGTATATCTACAGAGTGTCTTGTTGTATATATCTACAAAGTGTGTCTTGTTGCAGTGTATCTACAGAGTGTGTCTTGTTGTATATATCTACAAAGTGTGTCTTGTTGTATATATCTACAGAGTGTGTCTTGTTGTATATATCTACAGAGTGTCTTGTTGTATATATCTACAGAGTGTCTTGTTGCAGTGTTTCCCAATAGACAACATGTCCAAGGACAGCGGTGCAGTGCTGGTGTGTTGTGTATATCTACAGAGTGTCTTGTTGTATATATCTACAGAGTGTGTCTTGTTGCAGTGTATCTACAGAGTGTGTCTTGTTGGAGTGTATCTACAGAGTGTGTCTTGTTGGAGTGTATCTACAGAGTGTGTCTTGTTGCAGTGTTTCCCAATAGACAACATGTCCAAGGACAACGGTGCAGTGATGGTGTGTTGTATATATATCTACAGAGTGTCTTGTTGCAATGTTTCTACAGAGTGTGTCTTGTTGCAGTGTTTCCCAATAGACAACATGTCCAAGGACAACGGTGCAGTGTTGGTGTATTGTATATATATCTACAGAGTGTGTCTTGTTGCAGTGTATCTACAGAGTGTCTTGTTGCAGTGTTTCTACAGAGCGTGTCTTGTTGCAGTGTACCTACAGAGTGTGTCTTGTTGCAGTGTATCTACAGAGTGTGTTTTGTTGCAGTGTTTCCCAATAGACAACATGTCCAAGGACAACGGTGCAGTGCTGGTGTGTTGTATATATCTACAGAGTGTGTCTTGTTGCAGTGTTTCCCAATAGACAACATGTTCAAGGACAACGGTGCAGTGCTGGTGTGTTGTATATATCTACAGAGTGTGTCTTGTTGCAGTGTATCTACAGAGTGTGTCTTGTTGCAGTGTTTCCCAATAGACAACATGTCCAAGGACAACGGTGCAGTGCTGGTGTGTTGTATATATCTACAGAGAGTGTCTTGTTGCAGTGTTTCCCAATAGACAACATGTCCAAGGACAACGGTGCAGTGCTGGTGTGTTGTGTATATATACAGAGTGTGTCTTGTTGCAGTGTTTCCCAAGAGACAACATGTCCAAGGACACCTGTGCAGTGCTGGTGTGTTGTATATATATCTACAGAGTGTCTTGTTGCAGTGTTTCTACAGAGTGTGTCTTGTTGCAGTGTATCTACAGAGTGTGTCTTGTTGCAGTGTTTCCCAATAGACAACATGTCCAAGGACACCTGTGCAGTGCTGGTGTGTTGTATATATCTACAGAGTGTCTTGTTGTATATATCTACAGAGTGTGTCTTGTTGCAGTGTTTCCCAATAGACAACATGTCCAAGGACACCTGTGCAGTGCTGGTGTGTTGTATATATCTACAGAGTGTCTTGTTGCAGTGTACCTACAGAGTGTGTCTTGTTGCAGTGTATCTACAGAGTGTGTTTTGTTGCAGTGTTTCCCAATAGACAACATGTCCAAGGACAACGGTGCAGTGCTGGTGTGTTGTATATATCTACAGAGTGTGTCTTGTTGCAGTGTTTCCCAATAGAAAACATGTCCAAGGACAACGGTGCAGTGCTGGTGTGTTGTATATATCTACAGAGTGTCTTGTTGTATATATCTACAGAGTGTGTCTTGTTGCAGTGTTTCCCAATAGACAACATGTCCAAGGACAACGGTGCAGTGCTGGTGGGTTGTATATATCTACAGAGTGTGTCTTGTTGTAGTGTTTCCCAATAGACAACATGTCCAAGGACAACGGTGCAGTGCTGGTGTGTTGTATATATCTACAGAGTGTGTCTTGTTGCAGTGTTTCCCAATAGACAACATGTCCAAGGACAACGGTGCAGTGCTGGTGTGTTGTGGGCCGGTGGGGAATGGTGGGGACGGCCTTGTCTGTGCCAGACATCTCAAACTATTTGTGAGTCACAATTCAAACTTTTTTTAGTGCACCTGTTAAATGGATAGTCTCAATATGCACCTGTTAAAAGGAAAGTCTCAATGTGCACATGTTAAATAGATAGACTCAATGTGCACCTGTTAAATTGAAAGTCTCAATGTGCACATGTTAAATAGATAGACTCAATGTGCACCTGTTAAATTGAAAGTCTCAATGTGCACCTGTTAAATGGATAGTCTCAATGTGCATCTGTTAAATTGAAAGTCTCAATGTGCACCTGTTAAATGGATAGTCTCAATGTGCATCTGTTAAATTGAAAGTCTCAATGTGCACCTGTTAAATGGATAGTCTCAATGTGCACCTGTTAAAAGGATAGTCTCAATTTGCGCCTGTTAAATGGATAGTCTCAATGTGCACCTGTTAAATGGAAAGTCTCTATCTGCACCTGTTAAATTGATAGTCTCAATGTGCACCTGATAAATGGATAGTCTCAATGTGCACCTGTTAAAAGGAAAGTCTCAATGTGCACCTGTTAAATGGATAGTCTCAATGTGCACCTGTTAAATGGATAGTCTCAATGTGCACCTGTTAGATGGAAAGTCTCTATCTGCACCTGTTAAATGTATTGTCTCTTTGGACCCCCCCCCCCCCCCCCCCCCCCCCCGTCTTGAGCTCAGTTCACTTTTTCCCTTTACTTGTACTTTCTGGTTTTTCACCGAAAAACTATTACTTCCACAGACAATTACTGGTTGTATTTACTAGCCCAGCATTAATATTGTTGAAAAAACTACACAATTCAAGAAAGCGTAACACAACTGGGTTTTCTCATAACATTACACCCCTGTGGATATCCAGGTTAGATTATGTCTTCAGCAACCCATGCTTGTTGTAACTAACGGGATCGGGTTGTCAGACTCGCTGATTTAGGTGACGCATGTCATCGTATCCCATTTGCACAGATCGATGCTCATGATGTCAATCACAAGATTGTCTGGTCCAGACTGGATTATTTAATGTCATAGCCTATATATTGTCGACTGCAACGTTAACCTACAAGCAAATTAATTTTGATCAACACTCAATATCACCCTCTCACCAACTCCATACACTGACTTGCAGGGTTTCAAGCCTTGATGCTATATACGTCACCTGTCCCTATACAATGAATTCCAAGGCGACTATGCTTGTCGTAAAAGGCGACAAACGGGATCGGGTGGTCAGGCTTGCTGACTTGGTTGATGCATGTCATTGAACCCAATTGCGTGGATCGATGTTCATGATGCAAATCACTGGATTGTCTGGTCCAGACTCGATTATTTACAGACCGCCATTATATAGCTGGAATATTGCTGAGTGCGGCGTTAAACAACAAACAATGACGTCACCTAACAACAGGCGTGATAATGGCCTGTCGTCAAGCAATATGAGGGCGTTATCAAGTTACAGTGGCCCGCTCTCACCAACTCCATACTCTGACTTGCAGGGCTTCAAGCCTTCCATCTTCTACCCGAAGCAGCCCAACAAGCCCCTGTTTGAGAGCCTGCGCCGCCAGTGGCCCACTCTATCTACTTTAGCTATAACACTCAATATCCCCCTCTCACCAACTCCATCCTCTGACTTGCAGGGCTTCAAGCCTTCCATCTTCTACCCGAAGCAGCCCAACAAGCCCCTGTTTGAGAGCCTGCGCCGCCAGTGGCCCACTCTATCTACTTTAGCTATAACACTCAATATCCCCCTCTCACCAACTCCATACACTGACTTGCAGGGCTTCAAGCCTTCCATCTTCTACCCGAAGCAGCCCAACAAGCCCCTGTTTGAGAGCCTGCGCCGCCAGTGGCCCACTCTATCTACTTTAGCTATAACACTCAATATCCCCCTCTCACCAACTCCATCCTCTGACTTGCAGGGCTTCAAGCCTTCCATCTTCTACCCGAAGCAGCCCAACAAGCCCCTGTTTGAGAGCCTGCGCCGCCAGTGGCCCACTCTATCTACTTTAGCTATAACACTCAATATCCCCCTCTCACCAACTCCATCCTCTGACTTGCAGGGCTTCAAGCCTTCCATCTTCTACCCGAAGCAGCCCAACAAGCCCCTGTTTGAGAGCCTGCGCCGCCAGTGGCCCACTCTATCTACTTTAGCTATAACAGTCAATATCCCCCTCTCACCAACTCCATACACTGACTTGCAGGGCTTCAAGCCTTCCATCTTCTACCCGAAGCAGCCCAACAAGCCCCTGTTTGAGAGCCTGCGCCGCCAGTGGCCCACTCTATCTACTTTAGCTATAACACTCAATATCCCCCTCTCACCAACTCCATACTCTGACTTGCAGGGCTTCAAGCCTTCCATCTTCTACCCGAAGCAACCCAACAAGCCCCTGTTTGAGAGCCTGCGCCGCCAGTGGCCCACTCTATCTACTTTAGCTATAACACTCAATATCCCCCTCTCACCAACTCCATACTCTGACTTGCAGGGCTTCAAGCCTTCCATCTTCTACCCGAAGCAGCCCAACAAGCCCCTGTTTGAGAGCCTGCGCCGCCAGTGGCCCACTCTATCTACTTTAGCTATAACACTCAATATCCCCCTCTCACCAACTCCATACTCTGACTTGCAGGGCTTCAAGCCTTCCATCTTCTACCCGAAGCAACCCAACAAGCCCCTGTTTGAGAGCCTGCGCCGCCAGTGGCCCACTCTATCTACTTTAGCTATAACACTCAATATCCCCCTCTCACCAACTCCATACTCTGACTTGCAGGGCTTCAAGCCTTCCATCTTCTACCCGAAGCAGCCCAACAAGACCCTGTTTGAGAGCCTGCGCCGCCAGTGGCCCACTCTATCTACTTTAGCTATAACACTCAATATCCCCCTCTCACCAACTCCATACTCTGACTTGCAGGGCTTCAAGCCTTCCATCTTCTACCCGAAGCAGCCCAACAAGCCCCTGTTTGAGAGCCTGCGTCGCCAGTGTGAGGGGATGGACATGCCCTTCTTGTCCTTCTTCCCCTCCGACCCCCAGCTCATCAAAGACTCCTATAACCTCATCGTAGATGCGCTGTTCGGATTCAGCTTCAAGGGACCTGCCCGCCCCGAGTTTGCCTCCATCTTGGAGAAGCTGAAGAAGATACAAGACGATGTCCACATCTGCAGCATTGATGTCCCTTCCGGTAAATAGTAGGGCTGGGACAGTACACTAATTGATGTACCTTCAGGTAAATAGTAGGGCTGGGACGGTACACTAATTGATGTACCTTCAGGTAAATAGTAGGGCTGGGATGATACACCAACTTTGAGATCAGATACGTATCACGATACACTAATTAATGTCCCTTCAGGTAAATAGTAGGGCTGGGACGGCACACTAATTGATGTATCTTCAGGTAAATAGTAGGGCTGGGACGATACACTTATTGATGTATCTTCAGGTTAATGGTAGGGCTGGGATGGTACACTAATTGATGTACCTTCAGGTAAATAGTAGGGCTGGGACGATACACTAATTGATGTCCCTTCAGGTAAATAGTAGGGCTGGGACGATACACTAATTGATGTACCTTCAGGTAAATAGTAGGGCTGGGACGATACACTAATTGATGTACCTTCAGGTAAATAGTAGGGCTGGGACGGTACACTAATTGATGTACCTTCAGGTAAATAGTAGGGCTGGGACGATACACTAATTGATGTACCTTCAGGTAAATAGTAGTGCTGGGACAGTACACTAATTGATGTCCCTTCAGGTAAATAGTAGGGCTGGGATGATACACTAATTGATGTACCTTCAGGTAAATAGTAGTGCTGGGACAGTACACTAATTGATGTCCCTTCAGGTAAATAGTAGGGCTGGGGCGGTACACTGATTGATGTCCCTTCAGGTAAATAGTACGGCTGGGACGATACACCAACTGTGAGATCCAATACATATCACGATACACTAATTGATGTACCTTGATGGAGTTCCTGGTTTAGAGCTGGTCCAAGTATTGATGTACCTTCAGGTAACATAGTGTGGAGAGTCTGGGTTAGAGCTGGTCCAAGTATTGATGTACCTTCAGGTAACATAGTCTGTGAAGAGTCTGGTTTAGAGCTGGTCCAAGTATTGATGTACCTTCAGGTAACATAGTCTGTGGAGAGTCTGGGTTAGAGCCTGTCCAAGTATTGATGTACCTTCAGGTAACATAGTCTGTGGAGAGTCTGGGTTAGAGCTGGTCCAAGTATTGATGTACCTTCAGGTAACATAGTCTGTGGAGAGTCTGGGTTAGAGCTGGTCCAAGTATTGATGTACCTTCAGGTAACATGGTCTGTGGAGAGTCTGTGTTAGAGCTGGTCCAAGTATTGATGTACCTTCAGGTAACATAGTCTGTGGAGAGTCTAGGTTAGAGCTGGTCCAAGTATTGATGTACCTTCAGGTAACATAGTCTGTGGAGAGTCTGGGTTAGAGCTGGTCCAAGTATTGATGTACCTTCAGGTAACATAGTCTGTGGAGAGTCTGGGTTAGAGTTGGTCCAAGTATTGATGTACCTTCAGGTAACATAGTCTGTGAAGAGTCTGGGTTAGAGCTGGTCCAAGTATTGATGTACCTTCAGGTAACATAGTCTGTGGAGAGTCTGGGTTAGAGCTGGTCCAAGTATTGATGTACCTTCAGGTAACATGGTCTGTGGAGAGTCTGGGTTAGAGCTGGTCCAAGTATTGATGTACCTTCAGGTAACATGGTCTGTGAAGAGTCTGGGTTAGAGCTGGTCCAAGTATTGATGTACCTTCAGGTAACATAGTCTGTGGAGAGTCTGGGTTAGAGCTCATCCAAGTATTGATGTACCTTCAGGTAACATTGTCTGTGGGGAGTCTGGGTTAAAGATGGTCCAAGTATTAATGTACCTTCAGGTAACATTGTCAGTGGTGAGACTTGGTTAGAGCTGGTCCAAGTATTGATGTACCTTCAGGTAACATAGTCTGTGGAGTGTCTGGGTTAGAGCTGGTCCAAGTATTGATGTACCTTCAGGTAACATAGTCTGTGGAGAGTCTGGGTAAGAGCTGGTCCAAGTATTGATGTACCTTCAGGTAACATAGTGTGGAGAGTCTGTGTTAGAGCTGGTCCAAGTATTGATGTACCTTCAGGTAACATAGTCTGTGGAGAGTCTAGGTTAGAGCTGGTCCAAGTATTGATTTACCTTCAGGTAACATAGTCTGTGGGGAGTCGGGGTTAGAGCTGGTCCAAGTATTGATGTACCTTCAGGTAACATAGTCTGTGGAGAGTCTGGGTTAGAGCTGGTCCAAGTATTGATGTACCTTCAGGTAACATAGTCTGTTGGGTGTCTGGGTTAGAGCTGGTCCAAGTATTGATGTACCTTCAGGTAACATAGTCTGTGGAGAGTCTGGGTTAGAGCTGGTCCAAGTATTGATGTACCTTCAGCTAACATAGTCTGTGGGCAGTCTGGGTAAGAGCTGGTCCAAGTATTTATGTACCTTCAGCTAACATAGTCTGTGGGAAGTCTGGGTTAGAGCTGGTCCAAGTATTGATGTACCTTCCGGTAACATAGTCTGTAGAGAGTCTGGGTTAGAGCTGGTCCAAGTATTGATGTACCTTCAGGTAACATAGTCTGTGGAGAGTCTGGGTTAGAGCTGGTCCAAGTATTGATGTACCTTTAGGTAACATAGTCTGTGGAGAGTCTGTGTTAGAGCTGGTCCAAGTATTGATGTACCTCCAGGTAACATAGTCTGTGGAGAGTCTGGGTTAGAGCTGGTCCAAGTATTGATGTACCTTCAGGTAACATAGTCTGTGGAGAGTCTGGGTTAGAGCTGGTCCAAGTATTGATGTACCTTTAGGTAACATTGTCTGTGGAGAGTCTGTGTTAGAGCTGGTCCAAGTATTGATGTACCTTCAGGTAACATAGTCTGTGGGAAGTCTGGGTTAGAGCTGGTCCAAGTATTGATGTACCTTCAGGTAACATTGTCTGTGGAGAGTCTTGGTTAGAGCTGGTCCAAGTATTGATGTACCTTCAGGTAACATAGTCTGTGAAGAGTCTGGGTTAGAGCTGGTCCAAGTATTGATGTACCTTCAGGTAACATAGTCTGTGGAGAGTCTGGGTTAGAGTTGGTCCAAGTATTGATGTACCTTCAGGTAACATAGTCTGTGGAGAGTCTGGGTTAGAGCTGGTCCAAGTATTGATGTCCCTTCAGGTAACATAGTCTGTGGAGAGTCTGGGTTAGAGATGGTCCAAGTATTGATGTACCTTCAGGTAACATGGTCTGTGGTGAGTCTGGGTTAGAGCTGGTCCAAGTATTGATGTACCTTCAAGTAACATAGTCTGTGGAGAGTCTGGGTTAGAGCTGGTCCAAGTATTGATGTACCCTCAGGTAACATAGTCTGTGGAGAGTCTGTGTTAGAGCTGGTCCAAGTATTGATGTATCTTCAGGTAACATAGCCTGTGGAGAGTCTGGGTTAGAGCTGGTCAAAGTATTGATGTACCTTCAGGTAACATAGTCTGTGGAGATTCTGGGTTAGAGCTGGTCCAAGTATTGATGTACCTTCAGGTAACATAGTCTGTGGAGAGTCTGGGTTAGAGCTGGTCCAAGTATTGATGTACCTTCAGGTAACATAGTCTGTGAAGAGTCTGGGTTAGAGCTGGTCCAAGTATTGATGTACCTCCAGGTAACATAGTCTGTGGAGAGTCTGGGTTAGAGCTGGTCCAAGTATTGATGTACCTTCAGGTAACATAGCCTTTGGAGAAACTGGGTTAGAGCTGGTCCAAGTATTGATGTACCTTCAGGTAACATAGTGTGGAGAGTCTGGGTTAGAGCTGGTCCAAGTATTGATGTACCTTCAGGTAACATAGTCTGTGGAGAGTCTGGGTTAGAGCTGGTCCAAGTATTGATGTACCTTCAGGTAACATAGTCTGGAGAGAGTCTGGGTTAGAACTGGTTCAAGTATTGATGTACCTTCAGGTAACATAGTGTGGAGAAAGTCTGGGTTAGAGCTGGTCCAAGTATTGATGTACCTTCAAGTAACATAATCTGTGGAGAGTTTTGGTTAGAGCTGGTCCAAGTATTGATGTACCTTCAGGTAACATAGTCTGTGGACAGTCTGGGTTAGAGCTGGTCCAAGTATTGATGTACCTTCAGGTAACATAGTCTGTGGAGAGTCTGGGTTAGAGCTGGTCCAAGTATTGATGTACCTTCATGTAACATAGCCTGTGGAGAGTGAGGGTTAGAGTTGGTCCAAGTATTGATGTACCTTCAGGTGACATAGTCTGTGGAGAGTCTGGGTCAGAGCTGGTCCAAGTGTTGATGTACCTCCAGGTAACATAGTCTGTGGAGAGTCTGGGTTAGAGCTGGTCCAAGTTTTGATGTACCTTCAGGTAACATAGTCAGTGGAGAGTCTGGGGTAGAGCTGGTCCAAGTATTGATGTACCTTCAGGTAACATAGTCTGTGGAGAGTCTGGGTTAGAGCTGGTCCAAGTGTTGATGTACCTTCAGGTAACATAGTCTGTGGAGAGTCTTGGTTAGAGCTGGTCCAAGTATTGATGTACCTTCAGGTAACATAGTCTGTGGAGAGTCTGGGTTAGAGCTGGTCCAAGTATTGATGTACCTTCAGGTAACATAGTCTGTGGAGAGTCTGGGTTAGAGCTGGTCCAAGTATTGATGTACCTCCAGGTAACATAGTGTGGAGAGTCTGGGTTAGAGCTGGTTCAAGTATTGATGTACCTCCAGGTAACATAGTCTGTGGAGAGTCTGGGTTAGAGCTGGTCCAAGTATTGATGTACCTCCAGGTAACATAGTGTGGAGAATCTGGGTTAGAGCTGGTTCAAGTATTGATGTACCTTCAGGTAACATAGTGTGGAGAGTCTGGGTTAGAGCTGGTCCAAGTATTGATGTACCTCCAGGTAACATAGTCTGTGGAGAGTCTTGCTTAGAGCTGGTCCAAGTATTGATGTACCTTCAGGTAACATAGTGTGGAGAGTCTGGGTTAGAGCTGGTTCAAGTATTGATGTACCTTCAGGTAACATAGTCTGTGGAGAGTCTTGGTTAGAGCTGGTCCAAGTATTGATGTACCTCCAGGTAACATAGTGTGGAGAGTCTGGGTTAGAGCTGGTTCAAGTATTGATGTACCTCCAGGTAACATAGTCTGTGGAGAGTCTGGGTTAGAGCTGGTCCAAGTATTGATGTACCTCCAGGTAACATAGTGTGGAGAATCTGGGTTAGAGCTGGTTCAAGTATTGATGTACCTTCAGGTAACATAGTCTGTGGAGAGTCTGGGTTAGAGCTGGTCCAAGTATTGATGTACCTCCAGGTAACATAGTCTGTGGAGAGTCTTGGTTAGAGCTGGTCCAAGTATTGATGTACCTTCAGGTAACATAGTCTGTGGAGAGTCTGGGTTAGAGCTGGTTCAAGTATTGATGTACCTTCAGGTAACATAGTCTGTGGAGAGTCTTGGTTAGAGCTGGTCCAAGTATTGATGTACCTTCAGGTAACATAGTCTGTGGAGAGTCTGGGTTAGAGCTGGTCCAAGTATTGATGTACCTTCAGGTAACATTGTCTGTGGGAAGTCTGGGTTAGAGCTTGTCCAAGTATTGATGTACCTCCAGGTAACATAGTCTGTGGAGAGTCTTGGTTAGAGCTGGTCCAAGTATTGATGTACCTTCAGGTAACATAGTGTGGAGAGTCTTGGTTAGAGCTGGTTCAAGTATTGATGTACCTTCAGGTAACATAGTCTGTTGTGAGTCTGGGTTAGAGCTGGTCCAAGTGTTGATGTACCTTCAGGTGACATAGTCTGTGGGGAGTCTGGGTTAGAGCTGGTCCAAGTATTGATGTACCTTCAGGTAACATAGTCTGTGGAGAGTCTGGGTTAGAGCTGGTCCAAGTATTGATGTACCTTCAGGTAACATAGTCTGTGGAGAGTCTGGGTTAGAGCTGGTCCAAGTATTGATGTACCTTCAGGTAACATAGTCTGTGGAGAGTCTGGGTTAGAGCTGGTCCAAGTATTGATGTACCTTCAGGTAACATAGTCTGTGGAGAGTCCGGGTTAGAGCTGGTCCAAGTGTTGATGTACCTTCAGGTAACATAGTCTGTTGAGAGTCTGGGTTAGAGCTGGTCCAAGTATTGATGTACCTTCAGGTAACATAGTCTGTGGAGAGCCTGGGTTAGAGCTGGTCCAAGTATTGATGTACCTTCAGGTAACATAGTCTGTGGAGTGTCTTGGTTAGAGCTGGTCCAAGTATTGATGTACCTTCAGGTGACATAGTCTGTGGAGAGTCTGGGTTAGAGCTGGTCCAAGTATTGATGTACCTTCAGGTAACATAGTCTGTGGAGAGTCTGGGTTAGAGCTGGTCCAAGTATTGATGTACTTCCAGGTAACATAGTCTGTAGAGAGTCTGGGTTAGAGCTGGTCCAAGTATTGATGTACCTTCAGGTAACATAGTCTGTGGGAAGTCTGGGTTAGAGCTGGTCCAAGTATTGATGTACCTCCAGGTAACATAGTCTGTGGAGAGTCTGGGTTAGAGCTTGTCCAAGTATTGATGTACCTTCATGTAACATATAGGTGACTAAATTGATCGATGACTTGGTTGAATGCGTATCGGACCCAGACAGTTTGTGATGTTGCTCACAATATCGATCACTTGTTTGTCAGGTCCATACTCGATTATTTACAGGCCGGGATCATATATTTCGAATATTGCTGTTCAACAAGATTGTATGAATGGTTTATTTTAATTTTAATTTTAATTTTATTTTTAATTTCATAGATCAGTTATAATATTGTGTGTTTGATAAATGCTTTGTTTTGCCAGACCCATACAGGTACTCTCCAGAGTTGTGAGCAGAGTTATGACCCTTAGGTGTTCAAGGATCTGATGATCAAATAAACACCACACCCATAGTCATGAGTGTCACCAAATTGAAAATGTCTACTACCTGCCTCACTTAAGGCGCTGGTCTTCCAATCCCGGTTCGTCCCGATTATGTTTCTAGGTTTGTCAGCACCATACCATGCTCATGGGTTTCACCAAAGTGGTAAACGTCAGAGACCTGCATCACTTCAGGCTTTCCTCCAACATTAAGCTGACACGCCGCGATATAACTGGAATGCTGTTAAAAGCGGCACAAAACCCAACTCACTCGATCACTCACTATTTTCAGGATGGGATGTAGAAAGCGGCGACCCCGACGGCATCCACCCAGAGCTGCTCATCTCGCTGACGGCACCCAAACTGTGTGCCCGCCACTTCAGGGGCAAACACCACTATCTGGGCGGCCGCTTCGTGCCGAAGACGCTGGAACAACGCTACAGTCTCAATCTTCCTGCCTACCCAGGCACAGAGTGTGTGATAGAACTGAAAACACAGACAACGGAACCTGCAGAAAGTTCCAAGTGATTCTCTCCGCTGCCATCAATTGACCTCCTGCTGTTTGTTGATAGCTTGAAATGTGTATATCATCTGTCCTTTCCAAACAATGTATAGAGAAAAGGTTTGGTGTAGAATTGTTGTGCATCAGTTGAAATTATTTTAATGGTTGGTTTAGTTGGGTTAATTCTGCTTTCAGCTTTAGTTATATCATGCTTGTTAGTTTAGAGGTAGTCATCAAGCCATACTAAAAGACTTGAAGAATTAAAGTCACATGTGACCTGAATGTCACAATGGAATTCTGTTTTTGCTCAACAGCACAACATCTTGATTAAACCCATCTCTCAAAATAACAATTAAATTTAGTAAACATTGTTTGGTGTATGTTTATTTTTTACACCCAAGCTGTCGGTGAAATGGCTGCTCGATGCACCATTATTGTGGGAGAATACAAAAGTGATGCTGGTTTTTTTTTTAGATTTTAAGATGCGGATGCGGATTCAGGTTTTTTTGTAATACTACTGAGTCTCTCAACGTAATACTATTATATACACCTTGAAAAAAGTAAAGCACCACTTCTTTCTTTTTTTTGTATTCGTGACTTCCATGTATCATTTTGAACGACCTACATATGACATTGAGTCATTTTTAGAAATGTCTTAGATACTATTGATACCTTGGTACAAGAACACTGTACGTTCCTCCAGACATTACAAGAACACTACGTTCCTCCAGACGCTAAAAGAACACTGTATGTTGCTCCAGACGCTACAAGAACACTGTACGTTGCTCCAGACCCTACAAGAACACTACGTTCCTCCAGACGCTAAAAAACACTGTACGTTGCTCCAGACGCTACAAGAACACTGTACGTTCCTCCAGACGCTACAAGAACACTGTACGTTCCTCCAGACATTACAAGAACACTACGTTCCTCCAGTTGCTACAAGAACACAGTACGTTCCTCCAGATGTTGCAAGAACACTGTACGTTCCTCCAGACATTACAAGAACATTACGTTCCTCCAGACATTACAAGAACATTACGTTCCTCCAGACATAACAAGAACACTACGTTCCTCCAGACATTACAAGAACACTACGTTCCTCCAGTTGCTACAAGAACACAGTACGTTCCTCCAGACGCTACAAGAACACTGTACGTTCCTCCAGATGTTGCAAGAACACTGTATGTTCCTCCAGACATTACAAGAACATTACGTTCCTCCAGACATTACAAGAACATTACGTTCCTCCTCCAGACATTACAAGAACACTACATTCCTCCAGACGTTACAAGAACACTACGTTCCTCCAGACGCTACAAGAACACTGTACGTTCCTCCAGACATTACAAGAACACTACGTTCCTCAAGTCGCTACAAGAACACACTATGTTCCTCCAGACATTACAAGAACATTACGTTCCTCCTCCAGACATTACAAGAACACTACATTCCTCCAGACATTACAAGAACACTACGTTCCTCCAGACGCTACAAGAACACTGTACGTTCCTCCAGACATTACAAGAACACTACGTTCCTCCAGACGCTACAAGAACACTACCTTCCTCCAGATGCTACAAGTACACTACGTTCCTCCAGACATTACAAGAACAATACGTTCCTCCAGACATTACAAGAACAATGCGTTCCTCCAGACATTACAAAAACACAGTACGTTCCTCCAGACGTTACAAGAACACTGTACGTTCATCCAGACGTTACAAGAACACTACGTTCCTCGACCCTAGCTGAAATTTTAACTGAATTTTGTTATGCACACCTCTTAGTTGATCAAATCTTCCTGCTTCCTTTGATCACTGGCCTTTATCTTTCAAGGCCAGCTAACCCACGCGCCCAGCAATATGTTGAGACTATTTCACACACTGCTTGTCTATCACATACCACATGAGGATTGTTTCCCCAATTGCCAGGCATGCACTCAGAGTTTGGAGTCCCGGATAAATCTTTGAGGAGCAGTGAATAGGACGAAACATTTCTTGGCTTCTAATCCCATTTAACGTTTTTTAAACCAATCCGACCACAGCACACACTCCCACTTGTTTACATCTCTGAGGTCTTTCCATGCTTGCCATAAAAGACGACTATGCTTGTCGTAAAAGACGACTATGCTTGCCGTAAAAGACGACTAACGGGATCGGGTGGTCAGGCTTGCTGATTTGGTTGATGCATGTCATCATATCCCAATTATGTGGATCGATGCTCATGATGTCAATCACTGGATTGTCTGGTCAAGACTCGATTATTAACAGACTGCTGTCATACAGCTAGAATATTGCTAAGTGCGACGTTAAACAACAAACAAACAAAGAAACATCTCGGAGTACAAATTACTCACAATAAATAACAACAAACCAGGGGGGTGTACTTTTGAAACAGCCGCTCTTAACATCATTTCATCAGAACCAATTGCTTCTTAGTCTGTTAAGACTTATTATTATGATGATGATGATGATGATGATGATGATGATGATGTATTAAGCTTCATCCGCTTATGTATATGACATCTCTGCGCTAAAGTGCATGTTTTTGGATAACATTTTATATTCTTTTTGTACTTCTCAGCTTTCTGTCATAGGTAACAGTTGTATTTTGGACGTTTTATATTCTGTTGTTAGTTCTCGATTCTGTGTCACAGTCAACCATTTGTATTTTAGATGTCTTATGTTTCATTACTTGGTTTACGGACCCATCAACCCTAAAAGTCAGAAATGAGGAAAAAATAACTCTAGCTTTTTTTAACTATCACGGATCCTGTTAATCTCCATTATTTTAGTGGGTAATATATCGGACTAGTTGTTTCATCTTCCAGAGGCAAGGGAGTGAACTTAGTACAATAGTCCAGTTACAACCCTTGCCAAACTAGGCTGCAATTCCGGAGTCATATTTTGGCTAGACTAATGGGACAGGTAACTCGGGTACTCGGGTGGGGAGTTAACTTACTACAATAGTCAGTTACCACTAGGGCTGGGACAGGTAACTCGGGTACTCGGGTGGGGAGTTAACTTACTACAATAGTCCAGTTTCCACTAGGCCTGGGACAGGTAACTCGGGTACTCGGGTGGGGAGTTAACTTACTACAATAGTCAGTTACCACTAGGGCTGGGACAGGTAACTCGGGTACTCGGGTGGGGAGTTAACTTACTACAATAGTCCAGTTTCCACTAGGCCTGGGACAGGTAACTCGGGTACTCGGGTGGGGAGTTAACTTACTACAATAGTCCAGTTTCCACTAGGCCTGGGACAGGTAACTCGGGTACTCGGGTGGGGAGTTAACTTATTACAATAGTCCAGTTTCCACTAGGGCTGGGACAGGTAACTCGGGTACTCGGGTGGGGAGTTAACTTACTACAATAGTCCAGTTTCCACTAGGGCTGGGACAGGTAACTCGGGTACTCGGGTGGGGAGTTAACTTACTACAACAGTCCAGTTTCCACTAGGGCTGGGACAGGTAACTCGGTTACTCGGGTGGGGAGTTAACTTACTACAATAGTCCAGTTTCCACTAGGCCTGGGACAGGTAACTCGGGTACTCGGGTGGGGAGTTAACTTACTACAATAGTCCAGTTTCCACTAGGGCTGGGACAGGTAACTCGGGTACTCGGGTGGGGAGTTAACTTACTACAATAGTCCAGTTTCCACTAGGCCTGGGACAGGTAACTCGGGTACTCGGGTGGGGAGTTAACTTACTACAATAGTCCAGTTTCCACTAGGGCTGGGACAGGTAACTCGGGTACTCGGGTGGGGAGTTAACTTACTACAATAGTCCAGTTTCCACTAGGGCTGGGACAGGTAACTCGGGTACTCGGGTGGGGAGTTAACTTACTACAATAGTCCAGTTTCCACTAGGCCTGGGACAGGTAACTCGGGTACTCGGGTGGGGAGTTAACTTACTACAATAGTCCAGTTTCCACTAGGCCTGGGACAGGTGACTCGGGTACTCGTGTGGGGTGGGTACTAAATAGGACCCGGATACCCACAGGACTACCCGGACCCGTGGTTAGTCACGTGATATATTGTTTCATGACAAAATTTCACTATATAACTACCTATATATGTTTGAACAAAGCTAAAACTTCAGTCAACTTCAGTGTATGCATGACCACATCGTTTTATTTATCTAAATACATTCTGTGAGGGCTACTGTCAAACTATTCCCTATCGGACATTTTGTACCTATCTCTTGACACCAACAGTGGGTACCCAGGTAGGGTCAGGTAATTGGGGCGTGGGTACCCGGGTAGAAAATTTGGACTCGTCCCAGCCCTAGTTTTCACCCTTGCTAAACTAGGCTGCAATTTCGGAGTCATATTTTGGCTAGACTGATGAGTCTATGTATAGTCCAATCAAAATCACGTAATGAAATCAACATTTGGTTCGTATACTGCCGTGCAGATTTAGGTTGAGTGCAGGATTTACAAAGTTTGTGTACCGCCAACTCAGCGTCGACAGATATTTTCCAAATCTTTTTTTTTTTATCAAGGTTTTCAAATAATTTGATGCACTTCGCGAGGTAAGACAAGTTTTATTACAATCAAGATCTTGATTATTCATCACATCGTTTTCACCGGGCGGCGCCGTTTTGTTTGAAGCAAATACAAGAAATATGATAGGTGGATTGTGATTGGTCAATAGGAAGGACATTTCACAAAAATGCAGAGATGGTGTGACCCAGTGGTTAAAGATTGAAAAAATAGAAAATAATATATTTGATTTTCACATCCTACGGATGCTATTGTTAATATTTGAAGGGCTTCATTTCAGTTTTATTTCTATTTTGACCATCAAGACCATCCAAGAAAAATCAGGTGCACTGGTGACCCAGTCGTCTCAGGTGCCGCGATTCACTGTGCAGAGTTGAGTCCCTTGATCACGCCAGAAACCTATGGTTGTGGGTTCGAACCTGATTATGTTTCTAGGTTTGTCAGCGCCATACCCGTGCTCGTGGGTTTCACCGAAGAGGTAAACGTCTGAGACCTGTATCACTTCTGGCTTTCCTCCCACATAAAGCTGACACGCCGCCATATTACTGGAATGCTGTTAAAAGCGGTGGTAAACCCAACTCACTCACTCCAAGAAAATTCTGTAAACCAACGAATGAAAGAAATCCTGTACTTTTGAACTTTGTCTGTTCAGTGTTTTTAGGTGTTGTTCTGCAAATTTATCTTTGAAAATTGATATGAGTGAAATACCAGTAATAAATCTTGTCAATATCCGGTTCCAACTGTTGCTGATCATGTGACACAGGACACGCCTTAATTACAAAATGGCCTCCATTCCGTAGCTGACTTGGGAAAACCTGCTTAGACACGTTTGAACCTGTCTGCATACTGCAGAACTCCTCCTGTCTGCATACTGCAGAACTCCTCCTGTCTGCATACTGCAGAACTCCTCCTATCTGCATACTGCAGAACTCCTCCTGTCCGCATACTGCAGAACTCCTGTTCTGTGTCCATACCGAGCTGGTGATCAGATGATGTAGCTTCTATGTTCTCATTGTGATGTCACCATATGACATGAGTTTGACAGCAGCCATTTTGTTCTTTAACGTGTCCTTTGTCGCATGATCAGAACTGACTTCGGGAAAATAATTTGCTGTTGTAACATTAAGTTGAAGGTAATGGTAATAAATTGTAATCACTGTTTATGTTGAGTGTGGCCAATCAAGGAATTTTGGACATATTGCAATAATCTGTAGTCAAGATCCTTGTAGGTGTCGTGAGACTCAGTCCATACAAAATGGTATATTAGTGTCACATATATATATATATATATCACGACATTAGTATAAAGATGCATTTTTGTCACTTTGAGTGTACTGTATCATTCTCTTACTAATAATCAAGCTGTTGGACAAATGAAGAGGATAAAACCAAAATTTGTCCCGAAACCAGATTTCGTAATTCTGTTAATTCAGTTCTCACACCAATTGTCATCATAATCTCTGTTGTTCATATTGGATTATTCCTATTGCAAAGTCTTTATATAACCAAAGTTTCACTATTGTACCCACGATTCGTTAACCCAGACATTTGTTAATCTGAATGTTTTCACTAGGAAACTGTCTGGATTAACAGGGTTTTAACTGTAAAAAGGTCCAATTTTGACTCCGAATCAAAACCTCTTTCCATTAAAATCTGAGAAAGCCTCCAATCAGTCTATTTCTTCAGAAGTTCAGAACCATTTGGATCTGCATATCAGATTTTTGTATGTGTAAAAGACTATGTAACCATGCAGTTCGGAATGGAGAAAATAATAACCACGCTATATGTTGTTGATGTTATACATCCCGTTATATTTTAGTGTAATGGAAAATACAGCCAAAAGGTTGCACAACCGAGGGAACCTTTATGTGGATTTCGTTTTCTTCTGACCGAAAGTTCAGAATTGATGACAAAGGTGGTGAACGATAAAAAGCTGAATTGCTTTAGAAGACAGAAATATTATTGGCGCCAAAACACATCCTTGATTTTGACTGGGCCATCACAGTTGGGCAGAGAGGTATCAAATCTGAGAAGAGGATCGGATTTTAATAAGATTATATAATGTTACTTGAAATAAATTTTAAGATATTAATGTCTTTGTCATAATGTTTATATGAACATATTGCTTGAAAGTATTTGTTTTCAAATTTTGTTGAGGATTCTGGATACAATTATATCTTGTTAACTCCCAACTTTCTGGGACCATCAGATATACACCTGGGAAAACGTTAAGTGCTGTTGTTTTTTTCTTACATATCTCCCAAACTTCCATGTCCTTCTTGGAAATACTTATGAAACTGATAAATGTCCCACGATGGTAAAGAATACAATGTTCCTACAGATGGTACAAGAACACTGTATGTTCCTACAGATGGTACAAGAACACTGTATGTTCCTACAGATGGAACAAGAACACTTTGTTCCTACAGATGGTACAAGAACACTATATGTTCCTACAGATGGCACAAGAACACTGTATGTTCCTACAGATGGCACAAGAACACTGTATGTTCCTACAGATGGTACAAGAACACTATGTTCCTACAGATGGTACAAGAACACTATGTTCCTACAGGTGGTACAAGAACACTATGTTCCTACAGATGGTACAAGAACACTGTATGTTCCTACAGATGGCACAAGAACACTGTATGTTCCTACAGATGGCACAAGAACACTGTATGTTCCTACAGATGGTACAAGAACACTGTATGTTCCTACATGTTGTACAAGAACACTGTATGTTCTTTCAGATTGTGCTGGGTCATGTCTGTGTGTTTAACGTCACATTCCGCAGTAGTCCTGATATATGACAGCAGTCTGTAAATCATAGAACCTTTACCAGACAATCCAGTGACTGATATTGTTAACAACGATCCACACCAACTGGTTATGAAGACACTCGATGAAACAAGTCAACAGTTTGACCTCAGACCACCTGATCCATTTCGTTGCCTCTTGACCAGCAGATGTTCCTGGAGACCATTTCTAACCTGGAATCCAATACCAACTGCCATGGTCGGTTGGTTGGTTTGTTGTTTAACGCCGCACTCAGCAATATTCCAGCTATATGACGGAGGTCTGTAAATAATTGAGTCTGGACCAGACAGTCCAGTGATTGATATCATGAGAATCGATCCACGCAATTGGGATCGATGACATGCATCAACAAAGTCAGCGTGTCTGACCACCCGATCCCGTTAGTCGCCTCTTACGACAAGCATAGTCGCCTCTTTTTTTTTATAAAAACAGAGCTTAATTATTCCCAGGTGTATATTAGGCCACATTTTTCAATCTTATCTTTCACGGATTTATTCCAGCTTTGCAACACAAGGTCGGTCAAAATAAAAATAAAAGTCAATTATTTATTCACTTATAAGAAAATCCTTCTGCTGTGGATTTGCCGATGGCCTCTTGAATCATGTGATGTATACATGGAATTTATATTAAACATTTATTGTTGTTTAAGAGAGTCTATATTACTAGGGCGGTCAGGTAGCCTAGTGGTTAAAGCGTTCGCTCGTCACGCCGAAGACCTGGGTTCGATTCTAGACATGGGTACAATGTGTGAAGCCTATTTCTGGTGTCCCCCGATGTGAATATTGCTAAAAGCGGCGTAAAACCAAAACTCGCTATATTACTAGAGGGAGAAAATAAATATTTTTATGTTTATTTCTTAGACTGGCTGCTTTTAAGTTGGGGTGGTGGTGAAATGAAAATAAAATCTGTGTGGCCTTAGTGACCAGTAGATGTTGGATAGTCGGCACAGTACATAGCTCAAGCTCCTTCCCAGCATGTGACACCTTCGTTACACTCTCGGTAACATTGCTGCCACCATTGTGGTTGTGGCCTTAGTGACCAGTAGACAATGGATAGTCGGCACAGTACATAGCTCACGCTCCTTCCCAGCGTGTGACACCTTCGTTACACTCTCGGTAACATCGCTGCCACCAGTGTGGGCGCGGCCATTACAAGAATCTTGAAATTTGGCCCCTAACCCCAAATGTAGTAATGTCCATACTTTTGTTTATGTCTTTGGGAATGTCATCATAGTTCATTTTGAAAAGGTTAACGACGGACCATGTTTTCCAGATGAATTTACTTTGTTGTTTGTATAATCAGATTGGTTCGAGACTGCAGAAAATCGGAAAATCAACCAACTTCTCCCTTACATTCTTACTATATCAATTACATGATAGTTTTAATGAAATAGAAATTCAAACTGACAAACAAAGAAAGTAATTCGGCATCACGACAGTCGTCACTTGTTTGTAAACATAACGGTCATTCGGTTGCGAGTTCAACTCCAAGCATGGTTGTGGCCACCTATCACAGTGAGGAGTTTTGACTGGTAGAAGTGATTGTATAGAGAATGGGCTATCACTGCGAGGAGCTTGTACACAGCTGTGGTATTGCAGCTAGTCGAGTATGTGAGTTGACAAGGTTTCTGTTTGTGCTTTGTGTTCGTCAACAAATACTCAGATCGTTTTGAAAGGCAGGACTGACATTTTGCTTTGCAGATCCTTGTGACTAAAATAGCTAAAGATGTATGCTGAGTTGATGTTGAACTGATTAATATTGATAGAATGTGACAATTTTTGATAGTTAAATATTAAATGCAGCTGTTAAAAGGATCTGTGAAACAAAATCAAGAAATGTATTGGGTTTTCTTTTAAATATGATTTATGGAATTTCTATGTTATGGTCTTTTGTAAGCCCCCTTCAATAAATATATTTGGCAGCTTTGGTTTTGTTTGTTTCTTTGTTTAATGCCACACACAGCAATATCCAGCTATATCATGGTGCCCAGTAAATAATCAAGTCTGGACCAGACAGTCCAGTGTCAAATGTTGTGAAAAAGGTTGGTTGGTTGGTTGGTTTGTTGTTTTACGCCGCACTCAGCAATATTCCAGCTATATGACGGCGGTCTGTAAATAATCGAGTCTGGACCAGACAATTCAGTGATTGAGATCATGAGCATCGATCCTAGCAGTTGGGATCGCTGACATGCTTCAAGCAAGTCAGCGAGCCTGACCACCCGATCCCGTTAGTCGCCTCTTACGACAAGGTTCTGATATTAATGACTTTGGGTAGAAAATAAACATTCTATCCACTGTCTCAAACTAGAGAGTTACCACACAAAACAAATTTGAGTGAGTATAGTTTTAAGCAATATCACAGACATCAGAAATGATACAAATGTGAATATATCTCATTACTCATTCAATCAGTGATTACAACATGACATTTCATTATGAGTATGATCTATGTTTATTTGTTTCTTTGTTGTTTAACGCCGCACTCAGCAATATTCCAGCTAAATGATGGCAGTCTGTAAATAATCGAATCTGGGCCAGACAATCCAGTGATTGACATCATAGGCATCGATCTACGTGATTGGGATACGATGTCAATCACTGGATTGTCATGTCCAGACTTGATTATTTACAGACATTACATTACATTATACAAGTCAAGGAAATCAAGAAAAAACATACATAAAAACAGGATTCACGATCTAACTGAAGTGTGATCACAGTCTTGTCGTGATTGCTATATCAGGAATGAAATTATGCAAAAAGCCACATTGGCCTGTATTGGCCCTCTCGTGCTTCCATATGATGTTGGCCGAATTGGCCGTATTACTGACAGCCAATTCATAATAATAAATGTAATAAACATCTCAAATTCTCACATTATTCTGATGCCAGGACATATACAAGGGACATAACTCTGCCTGCTAATCAAACAATATCATCTCCCTTTAAATGCAAACCCATTTCCGATATACCAAGAATTACAATGTTTTCATAACTTCATATATGAATAGGTGGAGGGCTGGTGGAGTTTAACACCACTTTATACGTTATTTCTGTCAAATCACAGGGAGTCCCAGGAAAGAAAGGAGTGGAAGGATACCCAGTTATGCAGGTCTTAGATGAAATCAAAGAGCATTGTAAGGTGGCGACAAGCCATGATCACATGATCCTTATATACCGAAGGGAGACAACTGTGGACGCTTCGCCAACCTGGCTACTGCTATGATATGACAACATTCCTCTCTTTGAAGATATTGTCCAGAGCGTCTTCCATCGTTCTATTTGTTCCACGGAGTCCCGCAACAACTCGAGCTGCCCAGATGAAGTAGTCTTCCAACCGCTTCTGCGACCATCCACGGGGTGTGGTACGCTGGAGGTCACGTAAGTTATACAGCTTGTCCGCTAGCTTCACTAGTTTGGCCTTGGGGCTTGCGTGGGGCGCGTGTTCTATTTGAAGACGTTTCCTATCTTCTTTCATCAGCGTCTTGTCATCAGACAACTCGGCGACTAGATCTGAAACAGAGGGTGAGGGAGTATTAGAGCTTTTCTGAAGAGAGAGAGAGAGAGAGAGAACTTGTCAGAGCTTTTCAAAGGAGCGTCCCCAAGAGAGATAGGAAGAGAGAGAGAAAATGTGTCAGAGCTTTAAAGCTGTATCCCCAGGACACAGTGAGTGAGTTTAGTTTAACACCGCTTTTAACAGTATTCCAGTTATATCGCGGCGTGTCAGCTTAATGTGGGAGGAAAGCCCGAAGTGATGCAGGTCTCAGACGTTTACCACTTCGGTGAAACCCACGAGCACGGGTATGGTGCTGACAAACCTAGAAACATAATCGGGGCGAACTGTGATTCGAACCCACAACCATAGGTTTCTGGCGTGCCCAAGGGACGCAACTCTGCACAGCGAATCGTGGCGCCTTAGACGACTGGGCCACCTGTGCCCCCCCCCAGGACACAGAGAAGAGAGAGAGACAGGAGGGTGTTAGAGCTTTTCAAAGCTGCGTCCCCAAGAGAGAGATAGACAGAGAATGTTAGAGCATTTCAAAGCTGTGTCGCCAAGAGAGAGAGGGAGAGTTAGAGAGAGAGAATGTCAGAGCTATAAAAGCTGCGTCCCCAAGAGAGAGAGAGAGCATTTCAAAGCTGCTTCCCCAAGAAAGAGAGAGAGCATTTCAAAGCTGCGTCCCCAAGAGAGAGAGAGAGCATTTCAAAGCTGCGTCCCCAAGAGAGAGAGAGCATTTCAAAGCTGCGTCCCCAAGAGAGAGAGAGAGCATTTCAAAGCTGCGTCCCCAAGAGAGAGAGAGAGCATTTCAAAGCTGCGTCCCCAAGAGAGAGAGAGAGCATTTCAAAGCTGCGTCCCCAAGAGAGAGAGAGAGCATTTCAAAGCTGCGTCCCCAAAAGAAAGGGAGAGAGGGAAACAGAGAGAGAACATGTCAGAGCTTTAAAGCTGTATCCCCGAGAGAGAGAGAGAGTGTTAGAGCATTTCAAAGCTGCGTCCCCAATTAGTTACCATACAAACATTTTCATGCACATACCAGCTCCTTGTATATCAAACCATGTTCAATTCCTTAGAAGTTAGATAACACATTCTACTAAAAACAAACGTAGAAATTAAAGTGTCTAAATCAATGTTCCTTGTAACCACCAAGGTTTTGAGAAAAAAAAAGTCAACCAATTTATAAAAACAGAAAGGCCTAACTATGAAGTGAGAAAAGGTTTTGTCCATTGTGGCCATTCCATCTCCATTTCAATGAGGACGTGTTCATGTACCTCGAACCTCCTTTCCAAATTCAGCCTCGATTTCATCAAAGGTCGTGCTTGTGTCTTCCACTGTATCGTGCAGCAGAGCCGTCTGAAACATAATGAGGCATAGGGTAAAATAATGAGTGAGTGAGTGAGTTGGGTTTAACGCCGTTTTTAACAGTATTCCAGTCATATCACGGGGCGTCAGCTTAATGTGGGAGGAAAGTCTGAAGTGATGCAGGTCTCAGACGTTTACCACTTCGGTGAAACCCACGAGGACGGGTATGGTGCTGACAAACCTAGAAACATAATGGGGGCGAACCGGGATTCGAACCCACAATCATAGGTTTCTGGTGTGCCCAAGGGATGCAACTCTGCACAGCGAATTGCGGCGCCTCAGACAACTGGGCCTTCTGTGCCTCCTAAGGGTAAAATAGAATAGACCATGTTTGGTTTAGATATTTACCAGTCACTCAACTCACTCCCTCACCCACACCTGTACGAGGGCTGGGGCGGGTGACTCGGGTCTGGTGGGTACTGAATAGGACCTGGGTACCCACAGGACTACCTGACCCGTGGTTAGTGAAGTGATATTTTGTTCTGTGACACAAATTATCAAGAACTCCATGGTTACACTACAAGTCCAAAAGGGTCGCATTTCTTTCTGACGATGCATGCATTCCTTCTGACTTTCATATGTTTTAAGAAGGATAAGCTTCAGTCAACTTCAGTGTATGCATGATCAGATCATTTTTATACTTTTTCCCAGGGATCCTGTCAAACAATTCCCAAAAGGACATTTTGCAAACAACCCTTCAGTGAGTGAGTTAGGTTTAAAGCCGCTCTTACATGATTCCAGTTATATCACAGCGTGTCAGCTTAATGTGGGAGGAAAGCCCGAAGTGATGCAGGTCTCAGACGTTTACCACTTCGGTGAATCCCATTGACATGGGTATGGTGCTGACAAACCTAGAAACACAATCGGGGCGAACCGGGATTCGAACCCACAATCATAGGTCTCTGGCAAGCCCAAGCGAATCACATTGCCTTAGACGACTGGGCCACCTGTGTCCCCTCCAAACCTTTAGACCAACAGAGGGTACCCCAGTAGGGTCTTTGGGTTATAGGGGGTTGGGGTTGGGGTCGTCCAAGCCTGTGGTATTTATTACCTGGATGACACTGAGGTCTGTGATTCCGGCTTCCTCTGTCAATATATACGCCACACCTTCATTAAACAGAAACAATAAACAGGTGAGGTGAGCTGAAATGGGGTCTAACGACCTGCTCAAGAATATTGCACTTTTATACCGATGTGCATGCTGATTTTATAGTGCTAGTCAACTGAGATATCATGCTGCAGTTTAACATGAATACCCCACTCAGACACAGTATACTGACTCCGAGCCGACCAGTCCTTGTTTTAACCCCTTAATCCCGAGTGTCAGGCAGGGTAACAACAAGAACCATCTTTTAACGTCTTTTGGTATGACGCGGATTGGAATCGAACCCCGGACCTTCCGCTCTCCAGGCGCTCTACCACAAGACCACGGAGGCAGTCAGAAGCTGAGTACCATCCTTGATTATCCAGTGTACCATATATAGTGTATCTCCAGTCAGTTGGATAGATCTTCAGCAACCCATGCAGAGTTATGTCCCTTACTTATGAGAGACTGTAGGTCCAACTCACTGGATTTGGTTTGGTTGATTTGTTGCTTAACGCCACACTCAGCAATATTCCAGCTATATGACGGTGGTCTGTAAATAATCGAGTCTGGACCAGACAATCCAATGATTAATATCATGAGCATCGATCCATGCAATTTGGATTGATGCATGCATCAACCAAGTCAGCGAGCCTGACCACCCGATCCCGTTAGTTGCCTTTAACGACAAGCATAGTCACCTATTATGGCAAGCATGGGTTGCTGAAGACCTATTCTACCCCGGAATCTTCACGGGTCTGTAATGTAAGTTGTAGCAGGATCACGAGGGGTACATGGCGTTTTATGCGTCCTGTGTTATGTTTTATAACATGAGCCCCGAGTGATCCTGCAACAGCAAATTTATCTTACCGACATGTTTTAATTTGATATTGTAAATGAGTTAAAACAAATTCATAACAGATAGAAAACAGCTGTTTGATTGAGCAGAGGATAGCTTGTACTGTGTCAATGACTTTCAATGACTCAGTGCCACTTCGAAGCGGGGTATAAAGGATTTATTCTCCCTCTCAGAAATCCATGTGCAGCGTGTCTTGTTTGTGTTGGGGCATAAGGGATTTATTCTCACTCTCAGAAATCCACATGCTGCCTGTCCTGTTTGTGGAGGGGTAAAAGAGATTTATTTTCCCCCTCAGAAATCCATGTGCAGTATGTGTTGCTCAGGGTGGTGAATAAGGGATTTATTCGCTGAAAAATGTATTCCCCTCAAAGGCAGGATACATGGTATTTTATCAAGATCACATGGACCAATCAGATGTCATCATTCTGACATGGAGGTATGACAATGAGGCCCATTTAGACCTACCTATTGGGTGGTTGATGTAGGGAGTTGACTCGGGGTCTTTCCGCCGCTGATCTTTGTGTTTGATGGCTGAGAAGTTCGCACATCTGATTATTTCTCTTGTGATGTTGGGCTCCGTCGTCTGCATGGCTGCTGCTGATACAGACACCTGAGTAACACTGGAGAGTAACCGGCACCTGGACTTGGCGAGTAACAAAAGTTGGTTGGTTGGTTTGTTTGTTGTTTAACGCTGCACTCAGCAATATTCCAGCTATATTATGGCGGTCTGTAAATAATCAAGTCTGGACCAAACATTCCAGTGACATTCCATTCCAGTAACAAAAGTTGGTTGGTTGGTTTGTTTGTTGTTTAATGCCACACTCAGCAACATTCCAGCTATATGACAGCGGTCTATAAATAATCAAGTCTGGACCAGACATTCCAGTGATTAATATCATGAGCCCCTATCCATGCAATTGGGATCGATGACATGCATCAACGAAGTCAGCAAGTCTGACCACCCGATCCCGTTAGTCGCCTCTGACAAGCAGAGTTGCCTTTAAGCATGGGTTGCTGAAGACCTATTCTACCCCAGAACTTCACGGGGCGAGTAACAATGGAATAATCTTGTCTTGCTCAGGACTAGATGCACATTTTGAGACACTGACACTCAAGCGACCTTAGATGACCTTTCTGTTGTAATATAAAGGTTAAGTAAGTGACTTATGTTGCAAAAAGTATTACAGTTACAGTGTACTCTAAATCACTTCATCAAGGCACCACTGAACCAGTAAACAAATCTGCTTCGGGTCTTTAACAACCAATGCTTGCCATAAAAGGTGACTATGCTTGTCATAATAGGCGACGAACGGGATCGGGTGGTCAGGATCGCTGACTTGGTTGATGGATGTCATTGTATCCCAATTGCGTGGATCGATGCTCATGAAGTCAAACACTGGATTGTCTGGTTCAAACTTGATCATTTACAGACCGCCGTCATATAGCCGGAATATTGCTGAGTGCAGCGTTAAACAACAAACAAAACATTGTGCCATAGTTTCAATCACAGATAATGAAAATCAACTTTGCACTGTTTGAAGCTAAATTATCTTTGATAATTAGCAAACTCACATTCCAAAAAATCTGGTTCTGGAACAGGGGCAAATTTCTCTCAAAGGCAGTGTGGCATTAAACAAACAAACAAACAAACCACACCCTATCGGTTATTGACAAAAAGGACACAAATTTGGGTTAAAATGGACCCATAGGAAATGAGGATGTCGGTTTGCATCCGTTGGCAGACAAGAACTTGATAAATTCATTTTTTAATATTGATGAATAAAATGTTATATGACCACAATGATTGAGATTTATTATAAAATATGTAACTTGTATAACTGAAGTGGTTGGTGTGATCAAGGGGCACTAGCTATTCCGAGGATGTATGTTAGTCAACGTGGCAGATTTATTTCCTTCTCCTCGCTGTATGACTGTAAAGTGAACAATCTTGCCGGCAGCTGCGCGAAAACCGTATCACCTCGTTACCCATCGGAAGCATATTCCATCATGCCGATCACACACATAGTGACAGCTTCGATGACAGTCTGGAAATACACACGTGGAAGTTCATAGACATATGTATCCACACTTGCAATGCTATTCATATACCCGCTCACCTTTAGTTCTTCTGTGAAGACAGATGACCTCCATATATTCTGTCAATGTCCGTCGCACACGTGTTAAGCTGGTTCCCGGCTCTTCATGCGCATCGTCAACTTGTGTTATGAACAGACGGGGCCCAGTTAATACATTCGTTGGCTAGGAAATCCCCGCTCTCCTACCCAGAGTTCCATGCGCCGGAGCTTGGGAAATCCTAAACAGCGCACAGACACCTGGTGGGCATGCTGCACATTAACTAGCCTTGCAAAAGGCTCGTTGGTAGAAACTTTACTGAATATGACCACGGACCTATATAATATATTATACAAGTCCGTGGTATGACCCATTCGTGTCAGTAGAAACGGTAAAATTAAATAACCACAGTGATACCACCCTATATACATGATATAAGACACAGAACGTATTTTTGTCTTTTTCAACGGGGTGGTAGGCGAGATGAAATTGGGTTTACAAGATTTGGTTTGGTTTGGTTTGTTGTTTAACGCCGCACTCAGCAATATTCCAGCTATATGACGGCGGTCTGTAAATAATAAAGTCTGGACCAGACAATCCAGTGAATAATATCATGAGCATCGATTGAAATCCATGTCTCGTTTGTTTGTAAATTGTATGATAATGTAAATGAAATATGTTTAGTTCACCTTATGTTCACGAAGCAGACAACAAACGAAACTCGATACATATACTTGGTAGCAAAGTGTTAAACATGGATTGGTGTCTCTTTGAGATGTCACATATTGAGGTGACACAGCACGATAGAAGTGAAAAGAATACTCAATCATTGTTCAACATTTTCCATATCATATCACGTAGGTTCTTGATGTGAATGTGAGTGAGTTTTGGTTTTTACACTTTTAGCAATATTCCAGCAATATCAAGGCGGGGCACAAGAAATGGGCTTCACACATTGTACCCATGTCGGGAATCGACCCCGGGTCTTCGGCGTGACGAGCGAACGCTTTAACCACAAGGCTACCCGACTATCACGGTTCTGGAGTACGGTACTGGGCCTAGATTTTCGAAACGATCTTAGCTAAGATAAATTTCAACAGCTTACCTTCAAAGATAAGATATCATAAGGTTAAGATAAGATAGATTTTCGAAACTATCGTAAACCTGTTTCCCAATGACGTCACGGGGATTCCCCAGCTGCTGGGTTATCTCCCAAAACCCCTACATCCCATTTCCCCTACAACCCAGTTCCCCTACAATTAGTTAAAACAACACGCGGCATTTACCTGTCTGGCATTATGAACTCACCTAAAGGAGAGATTAAGGTCTGGAGTAGAGGTAGTAGAAATGAAAAGGGTAGAGCTTTAGGGGATTAGGGGACTTAAAGGAAAGTTTAAAAAACAAAAGAATTAATGTAAGTAATGAAAGATGCCTGCATGATGAGAAGACATTTTTTAGAAATTACAAAAATAACAATAGGAAGAAACAATTATTACACTGAGAAACTGAGATGAGACGATTTACAGTTGAGATGGCTAGGTTTAGTATATAGATACTTGAAACTGACTAACATGTGCGAAATACGCATCAGTCGGAAAGCGCACGTTAAATCTCCAAAGTAAGTAAGTAAGTACTAACATGTGAATAACAAACTACCTAAATGAACACCAAATTAAATATCTTAAACAAAACTGCAAACAATCAAATATCTTCACCCCTAAACTTAAAATACCCAAAATAGACACAACACTAGCTAGCCAAATAAATTAACAAACCGACCCAAACATAGCTAAAACCACCACACCAGCATACATACACGAAAATTGGCCAAATTGGTGTCACATTTACACGGATGGATCTTCAGATCCGACCTCCAAACACACAGGTTTCGGAGTCCATACCACACAACCAACTAAAACCACACAATCCTTCCGACTCCCAAACAACCAATCAATATTCACGGCAGAACTAATGGGCATGGCCTCAGCCCTCCATAATCAAGAATCCAAAAAACAAAAAAAAATCCTAATACTTACCGACTCCCTAAGTGGACTGCAAGCCCTCCATAACAAAAATACCAAAAACCGACCTAAATTAATAAATCAAATACTTAAAAGCTCCAACGACCTAACTAACGCAGGCAAACAAATAACCTTCTTGTGGATACCCGCCCACGTAGGAATATACGGTAATGAAAACGCCGATAAGGCAGCCAAACTATTCCTCAAAATCCCAGAAATAAGCTAACACTTACCCATCTCAAAATCAGAAATTAAAAGCATAAACAAGCAAAAAATCACCAAAAAATGGCATAACCTATATCTAAACTCAAATAGCCAAATCAAAAAAGTACTCAGCAAACCACTAACCAAACCAAAAATTAAGTAATCACTAAACTCCAAACAGGACACACCAACCTAAATAACCACCTAAAAAAAATTAAAAAAACACACTACAGGTAACTGCCCACACTGCAAACAACTAGAAACCCCAGAACACGCACTCATCCACTGCACATACTACCTAACACATCGAACCGCATTACAAACCACCCTCAATCTAAACAAGGCTCTCACTCTAGAAGCAATACTAAACCCACAAAATAAACTAGAAAACTTCAAGGCCTTAGGCGTATTCTTAATCAAAACGGAACTAATAAAACGCATCTAAAAACACTATAATCTACCAAATCAAAATCACATAAACAAACAAACATCCACCATACCCAGCTCCCTTTGTTCTACTCCCCAACCCCATCGGCATCTATTCCAAATCTCAAAATTCCCAAATTCTATATAAGCAACCCCTAAAGCCCCCTCTTGGGTTGCACACACCACTATCGCCCCTTTCGGAAACACATTAAATGGCCTGGTCGGGCCTGTGTGCGAAATACGCATCAGTCGGAAAGCGCATGTTAAATCTTCTATATCAGTCAGACTAACATGATCCGTGTGCGAAATACGCATCAGTCGGTCAACACTGTCCACTCACTCCAATTTTAACGTGTTGTTACGCGTGAAAAAAAATAGTTCTGTTAAAAACGTTTAAAGATCACATTATTGCAGTTATATTTCTGTCTGATTTACACAGCTTTTTTTAATCAAGGCTTGTTTCGACAAGATCTCGTCACTGACAAGACCAGCCGTCGTTGTGCATCAGCACAGGCATGAATTTCACATTGAGAAGAGGAAACACGGATAACCTGTCAATCTTTTTATGTGTCATTCGACAAAAATGTCCAAACCTATAAGAACATAGACGGAATGTACAGAAGTCATGCTTGTTACAGGAAAGTTACGAAAAGTAGGTAAACTTTGAAAAGTACGATTGCTGTCACAGTGTCGGAATGAATGACCCAGATATGAGACAGACGAAACCAGGAATGACAAGAGAACCGGCGTTACAGTTTAATCCAGACAAGTTTAATGAACATCGTGTGTGATTTGAGACAAGTGTGACTGATGAGGAACATGTGCATGTGGGATTTTAGGAGGACTTGTCAAACACACTTGGGGAGTAGACACAGCCTAGTGGATGACAGAAGTTTGTGGATATAGAGAATCTGAGTGTCTTTTGATATCAAATGTATCAACAACATATTTGTTAGTTTGTGGACAGTAATAAGCAGTGTCTAAGACTCTAAGTGTAAAAAGTACTGCTCACAGCTTCAGTAGCAGAGCCATTGCGGATGTCATTTGATTGTGACGTCATGGTAACAAAGACGTCACAATGGTCTGCAAATCATTGTGATGCAATTTCATAGCACCGATATCTATAATGTAAACATCGCTTGATCTCACCCACGAGATATCAACTCAGGGAACCAGTTTTGGATGATAAATCATAATGGTCGAATAGCTGTTGATGGACTAACAAGGTATCTGGAGACTAGTTGCCAAGCTGTGCGCATTCAAGAAGTATATTTAGTTCAAAATCGGACACAGGATCAACTTGTTGGGGTAAGTTTCCTTTTCCTTGTGTATTTACTTGTTTTTGTGTTTATTTCAAAACCTCTCCGAGTTCACAGCAAAGTGCATCGATTTCGCGAGCAGATGTTGGTAACCATGTCGCTAAGGTTACAATCTATGCTACCTTTGATCCCCTTCATAGTAGACAGTTCGAATCGTGAACCGTCCGTGTAAATTACCCTCATGGTGCCTTGACGTCGGCCAGTCAGTCTTTTTCTTCACAAAACTTTACAAAATGCTACAAAGTAATACACTTTCATATTGTCTTTCTGAATGTCTAAAAGTTGTTGCAAAATAAGTTTATTTACATTCTGATGCCATTATTGAAAGTTTGAGTATTCTTAATTTTCGTGTTTTTCTTTCCTAAATAAATTTTGTGAACTTAAGTTCATGTCAACTTGTCAAGTTAAGTCTTTTTCATTGTGTTTTCATTTTCAGTTGCAGTTAAGATCCTTGTCGATGACGGTTTTTGGATTCAGGTGGTCGAAAAATTCGTCAAACAGCAAGTCCTCTAACACAGACGCAAACCCGGACTTGGTGGTGTTGATCTTGGCGCACTCGTAGTCTGAATCTTGTAACTTCTATCTGGCCATATGCAGTTTTGACAACAAAGACATTTAATGAGTTCAGAGGTTGAATTATACGAATAACTCTTCATGTCAGTCAGATCTCCGTCCACTTTACCGAGGTCATTTACTTTGACTGTTTGTCTTAAAAATCTCGAATCAGTGAGATTGTAGTAGATCTATGTAAAATATTTGAATTAAATGGCGTGGATTTGTAAATAAATGGAATTAGAGAGAAAAAAAGTCCCATTGTCCAATGAAAATTTAACTTTGTTTAACTGGCCAATCAGCTTCGAGAATCAGTAATTGCACACTGTGCAAATATATAGAGTTTATCACGCGGGTGTGTTTGGGGTTGGTAAACATCCTGCATTAGGAATAAACATTGTATTTAGCGAGCCTTGGCGAGCTAAAGACTTTTGAAAGGGAAGCTACTCTAACCCTAGTCTATGAGACGTCACGCCACGTTCAGTCGTTGTTGACAGTCGGACTATTCTGTCATAACGTTAAAAGCAGTCAGTTGTACACACAGCGACAAAACTTAACAAGGTAACAATTCAAACATATTTCGGCCAAATCCAACTATTTTCATTTGTGGAAAAGGTTTCAAGCCGCAGTGGTCGACAAGCACAGATATGGCTACTGGTCCCGCTTGGCCAGGC